TAAAAGTTATAGATTAAGTAAAAATCTGTTACATCTAGTTGGTGATCAAGTAATCTGTGTTTCTAACCTCCCAGTGTTGGCATGCAGCCTGGATTTCACAGTCATATTTGTTTTTAATAGACTCCAAACACAACTCTTTGTAGATTCCTGACAAAGATTGGGGATATAAGAGTACACATAGTAAGAATTGTAAAGTGTGCTATTCTCTTGAGTGTGTGTATCAAAGTTACCTGCCACCTTGGTGCGAACTTGCATGTTCTCCAGCAGAACAGTCAGAGGCTCCAGATATTCTGCTGCCCGGCCACCCTCCACCTCTGCCAGCTTGCTACTCACCTGACTCAGACGCTCTCGATATAACCTGCACACATCACAGAAGTCAATATAGAGACATTTACTCCCTGTTGGTCATGACTTTTGTAATTCAAATATAAAACTATCTTTTAATATTCAAAATGTGTCTCACTGGTCTTTGAGATCATTAAACTGTTTCTCCAAGGTGGCCATTTCATCCAGACACTCCATCCGCCTCCGCTCACAGTCCTCCTCATCCATTTCTGCAACGTCAGAAAAAACAGATGTGCTGTTTTATTTCACATATTAGAAACTTTAGGTGAAACAAAGCTGAAATGTTGAGATGCCTCATAATCAGATCAAATATTTGTCTATATCTCTATCTTATAATTATATCAAATAATTGTTTTCTTTCACTGCATTTTCATAATCTGTAGCTTCAGAGCTTCTCACCGGAGCTCTCTCCATCCTCAGAAACAGACGAGGTTTCAGAATCCTCTTCGTCTGAGGTGGATGCTTCGTGCTCCTGCTCCTCCAGCTCCATATCTTCAGCGATATTCTCTTTCTTCTCTCTGTCACGGTGCACTGGCATGACACAAAGTCACTTTCAGAGCTGTTCTGTTAAATGGAAAAAAATGGATAAGATCTAAATTTTCGTTAAGCAGAGGTTGTTATATTACTTAGATTCATTCATTGTTAAGACATCAAGTTGAACCACACGGTAAATGCAGTCAAATATACTGCAGACATTTACTCATGTTTTCACCTTTTATGTGCTTATTTAAAACTAAAATGCACATAAATGACAGACTACTAAATACTTGGAAATGGAGACGTCATCAAAGTCCTATAATATGTCTAAAACTTCAAAACGCTATGTAACTTGACTTATTAAAGAGCAATTCATGTTTTAAAATACGTTTATATGTCATATTTACTACTAAAACAATTTGTTAAATTATTTTTGTGTGTAAAATATTCAGGATCTATGCATATCAAACAACACTCCAATATATAATAAAATGAGCGCATAAAGTTTAATAAGGAAAGCCAGTTAACGGAGGAAACGGTGTCACCTAACAATAAAGTTAGCTATTTGTTAGCATTATAGCGTTAGATAAAATATAATGTCATATCACGAATTAGAACAAAAATGCAAAGATTACTGCGCTTAAATCCCACCTCACAATATGCTGAAAAGCTAAAAAAACGTTTATAAAATATAGTCTTTGTAGAAAAATACGAAACTTCGCTTTCCTCGAGCACTATTTGTGTCTTTGCTATGCTAAAAACAAATCTCAACCAGGCGCTTTGATTAATTTTGGGAATTGTAGTTTTTTTCTACATGCCTAATTTCCTAAATTCAAGTGTCTGACTGCAAAACAAAAACTACAATACCCACACGAACGCACGAGGTTGAGCGTTGACGAAGAAGGGTGATAAAAACTTTAAATTGAAATAATAAAAGATGAAATGTTAAGTTAAGATAAATTCAAATTGTATTATATATGTATTTAGTTGACTTAAAATAAGTTGTCTCAATTTGCTGCCACAATTTAGGGTTAGTTGTAAATTTATTTGGCACCAATTTTTTTTCTTCCTGCCATGATGTTTTCTAAGTGGACAGCTAACCAGCTAGTTTGGTTTAGCCTTGTAGGCTGCGGAGCTGCGATGGATGGATTCGTTTCCCCGCTACGCTGCACGTATTTGTTTTTAGTGTAAACAGCATGCGGCCGATTTTACTCGTGAACATTTTCAGTGTCGTAGCGGGGAGCTGCTTACATGCAGCGCAGTGGTAATAAATGACCGAGGCGGAACGATTTCTTGTTACAGTTTGAAGATTAACGCCGACTGAGCAGTTGTACAGCCTAGCTTATTCTTTCTGTCGCATTCTTGAATCCTGCTTCAGGAATGTTTTCCAAAAAGCCTCATGGGGACGTTAAAAAATCAACACAGAAAGTGTTGGACCCAAAGAAGGATGTGTTGACGAGACTCAAGCATCTCAGAATAGTCATAGGTGAGTTTATTCTCCTTTAAGGGCTGCTAATTGGTTAGCTTTACGCACCAGGCTACGTCTTTTCCGAAAATCTTCACATCTTGAGTTGCTTCCATTCAGTTTTATGTTTTGTTCTTAATAGCTTATTACTTTTCCCGAGTTGCTGTTTGTACCAAAAGTATTTCATGTGGTATTTCTTTTATTATTATTATTTTTTTTTTTTTTTACAATTTTCTGTATTTAAAGTTAGTCGTTGCTCCAGAATAGTAGTGTTGTGAAAGTGTAAAATAAATCAGATGTCTTAACCACAGTAAAATGTGGTTTAAAGGGGTGAGATGTAAGATGTATATACTGGATGATATACCAGTATCACATGGTCTTAGGACAGAGAAGATTTAAGGTTTATGAAAGTAAGCTTAAAGTGCAAACACTGATCCCTCATGCTGTGAGTCAGGTTGCTATGATCTCTGCTGGGGTGTGCCTGGCTATGGGACAAAAACCTGAAGAGTGAGAGTCCAGAGTGTTTTCTCCTAATGCTGTGACATAAAATAAATTTGGAGTGTGTGTGTGTGTGTGTGTGTGTGTGTGTGTGTGTTTGAAATAGCTGAGACCGGAGAGAGAAATGGCCTGGAGTATTTCCTCTCTGAGTCCTGTACAGTAGCTCCACTTCCTCTTGTTTTTGTGTATGTCTGCGTAAAATGGGTGTGCCCTCCCTCTGTGCTCTATGGGGAACTCAGAATTATGATAACACACGCCAACAGACACACTTGCATTGGCATTAACTATTTAACTGAATTGCAAAAGTACCTCTGAGTTTTACCCGACAATGTGCTAGATTAGATTATATAAAGAAAAAGAAATGACTGCTGCAAAAAGTCTTACTTAAGCGGCACAGTGGAGCAGTTAGTAGCATTGTCTTGCAGAGAGAAGGTTGTAGTTTGAATCCCTTCTGTGGCCTTGCTGCATGAAGTTTGCATGTTCTCTCCATGCATGAGTGAGTTTTCCCCGATTACTACAGTTTTCTTCTGCAGACCAAAAACTTGCATCTCAAACTGGAGACTTGAAATGCTCCCCCGTGTGTGTGTGTGTGTGTGTGTGTGTGTGTGTGTGTGTGTGTGTGTGTGACTTTCTCATTTTTGTGTCCTTGTGATGGACTGGAGACCTGTCCAAGGTGTCCCCCACTTTTTGCCCTCATGACCCTGCTGAGGAATGTGTAGTTCACATAATGAATGAAAGGTCACTTGAGGAAAAAGTCGGACTTTCTAATGACAAGTGCAGTTTTATTTATGAATCAGATTTTTAACTGCACAGCACATAGAATGAAAACTTATTCAAAATGGTTTTTATTTAGATTAAAGGTAATAATAATATCCTAAATCTGCTGCACTATTTTCAGGAACTAAACGTGAGCCGGATTAGAGTTGCTCTTCAGACAGCAGGATTCGGAATCTTATTTCCTGATACCTGGACATCTCTCTTCTGATTGGCTAATGACAACACAACTCTACCAATGACTCTGTTTGCTCTGTAACGTTGATGTTTTATCTACACCAATAACACAGTCCTGGAGGAGTTCTGCTGTGTGGTGGCGTTACTAATGCTAACTGCTAACTTCTGCTAACCAAGGTGTTCTCTGCTGTTTCCTGGACGCTAAACCAACAACTGCCTTCCCCGTCATTAGTTAAGATGGGTGAGTCCATGAATGTTAAGAGACAGATGTAGATCTCTCAGGCTTTCCTAATCCAAGAATTTCACTGTCTATTTTCTATCAGAAGCTAATGCAGGAGAAAGGTGTAGGAGACTATTTTCATGTTCAGCCTGGTAGAAACACTCAGTGACCCATTAGAGTCAGAAATAATTTAAGAAATTATTTTTCATTGAACAACACTTTTTAAAAAAAAAGTTTTTGTGTGTCCTGTGAGAATTTTTATAACTTTGTAATTTTGTCCTTATTGAAATGTTTGGAATCCCTGGCCTAAAAGGTCTTAATCTAACTATAATTACACTGTTGTTCTGTTACTCATACCACAGGGTAATTTCATTCTATCATCAGAAATCAGACTTTAAATGGGTGACAGTTTATAATCTAATTAAATGACAGCAAATGTTGTGGTTGAATGTCAGTTTGAAGGAGAAATGATAACAGATGCGTCAACTGAGACCTTGCAAGGGCAGCTGAGAGTGTGTGTGTGTGTGTGTGTCTGAGTTCAGCTTTCAGCCTTCATTAGACCTCTAAATCTGCGTGTACAGTCAGTACGTCTGGTAAAAGTGAGGTCCAAACTGAAGCTGAGCTGTTGTTTCCAGGAGCCCGAGTGACGTTAGAAAACTCGAGGCTGCATTTCTCAACCGTGCTTCGTATGATGAGAAGTCCAAAACGAGAAGCCTTAAAAACCAAGTTAATTGAGAAACCATTTTTTCTTGCTTGTTTTGAGTTATGTCACTCTGCGTTTAACATGCAGGCTGACCGTGAAACTAATCTTCTGCCTCTATTTCCTGTATTAGCCGCCGATAGAGAAAATAGATGGGAAATCACTCAAACTCGAAAATCCTGACAGATCTACGTCACGCTGTCACCTGACATTCATGGACTCACCCATCTTGACCCTCGACAGGGAAGGCTGTTGTTGTTTTAATCAATCAATCAATCAATCAATCAAGGCTTTATTTATAAAGCGCCTTCCGCAACCCTGTCAGGAAGCCCAAAGCGCTGAACATGGTACAGTTGTAAGTAATTATACTGAATAAATCAAAATAAAAGAAATTCAAATTACAAAATACAAATTACAAAATACAAAATGGAAATTACAAGGTAGATGAAACATTCCGGTAAAATACAAATGTGTGAAACACAATTGGATTGAGTGGATGGATTGAGTGTACCAATGAAAACTGTGGAATGGATTCAACATAATAGAGGTCCATAATCAAACATGTTCTGGAAACGCCAAGCGGAGGAGGTGTGTTTTTAGGTGATTCTTAAAGACTGGCAGAGAAGGGGACAGCCTGATTGAGGGTGGCAACTGGTTCCAGAGTAACGGTGCTAGGACTGAGAAAGCCCGGTCCCCACGGGTACGACACCTAGACCGAGGGACAGCGAGCAGGCCTTGGTCAGAGGAGCGCAGAGCGCGTGATGGGGAATGTCTGTTCAGGAGTGTGGCAAGGTAGGGGGGAGCACCACCCTGGAAGAAATGATAAACAAAGACGAGTATTTTGAATTGTGAGCGATAGGAAATGTTTTAGTGTCCAGAAAACAGCAAAGAACGTCTCAGCTAGTAGATGCTAACCATTAGCATTAGTAACTTCACCACACAGCAGACCTCCTTCAGGCTTGAGTTAATTGTGGGGATAAAATATCAGCGTTGCAGATAAGTGTGTGGTATCAACTCACAAGGCATATATTTATATTACTGGAGACCACCGCAAATGTGTTTTGCAGTGGTCTTTTTCATATTTAATTCTTAATTTTATAGGTTTTATTTTACACTGAATATGTTTTCTGGAGAGGAAAAGAAAAATGCTCCTCTCTATTTCACACCCCTGTTCGTTCTTCCCAGAAAATTCTGAGGCTCCAGATCTGAAGCAGTTCTTTGACCTGTACTATTCCCATATCTACTATGTCTTCTTTGAAAACTTTGTCGCCATTGAGGTCAGCCTCAAGCAGAAAGGTGAGTTTTATCTGTGTTGGAAGGTGCTCATGCAGGAACGCAGGAATCATAAATTGACCTCATGCTGGAGATTTTCTGCTCGTTTCAACCGAATCTGTGTTTTCCAGGTCATAAATCTCAGAGGGAAGAGCTGGACTCAATCCTCTTCATCTTTGAGGTGACTACTTTTGCTTCCTTTTGTTGAATCCCCCCCCCCCCCCCCCCCCCCCCCCCAAATCCTGGAGTAAACTGACTCCATAAAATTATAATTCAAGTGGAGGAGCGTGGATTATCTGGGTCTGAGAATTTCGGACACATTTACTGGGATTTGTTGTTTTTACTGAAGTCATCGCTGCTGCAGTTTAGAGGGCTACACCGGTGGGGGCGTCCATGAATCCACAAGCTCTGACTTTCTGTAGATGGTTTCAGGCGGTACCATAACACCAGCTGGCACCGACCCCGGACTCACTTAGACCACTGGCATTTGGTGCACTTGAGTATCCAGGATAAGATAGCTGTGTGGGTGTTTGTGTTACTGACCGCTGTTTGCCCTTTTACACTCTTAAAATTCAGATCAGGACTGGAATAAGTGTGCACATTTCTTTAAAATCTTCTGGTGTTTTACTCCCTTTTTAAACTACACACATTAGTATTTTTCCCCATAGATCTATTATAACAAAAATAAAAATACAGAGTTCCACTGAATCTTAAAAGTTTATGTTCACTCTATTTTCCTCATTTGTTTTTCTCAGAGATTTTATTATTTTATTTATTTATGTAGGACAGTGCATGTTAATGAACGTAAATGTAAAAGCAGCTTACATGAATGTAAACATGCCAGATTATAGCCAAAGGCTAATTTCCACCTGTTGTCCTTAGACATAAAAAGACATAATAATTCATAAAAATTCATCATTCACTCATAATAAAAACTCCATCACCAAACTTACACACACACCATTCTATTCACAAGTAAAGCATTAAAACTATACAACTCATACATGATCACACACTTGATTTGTCCATAACCAGTTTATAACCTTTGCCTTAAACCAGTCAAATATGCGGCCCGCGGGCCGAATCCGGCCCGCAAGCGGGTTAAATCTGGCCCGCAAGATAATTGTGTAAACTTTATTTTCATACTTTACAATGTAGAGTGAAAATAAACGTATCTTTGTGAGCAAGTTTTCTCTGTAATGAGTATAAATAAAACAAAGCTGCGCTCAAGGCTCACACAAGAACTTGAATCACATCCTGAAGTCGGCCGCCACTCAGGATGTGACTTCTGATGTTGATGTGCCGGTGAAAGCTAAAAGATGTAAAGTAAAATGAGTCAAATATACTTAAAGTGCTGCTTGAAACTGATCTAGCCATGTGACCTGTAAGCTCTTTGAATCAGTAAGGAATGTTTTTTTTTATTTGTTGAATTTTTTTATTTTTATTTTTTCAAATTTTCTAGTACACTTCAGGTGTTGTACTTGTACTACACTGTCCTCAGGTTCCAGCCTTGTTTTATATTGATTGTATTAAAACAAAGAAAACAATCTGAAGTTTTTTTTTTAATTTACCGGTCCGGCCCACTTGGGACTAGATTTTCCTCAATGTGGCCCCTGAGCTAAAATCAGTTTGTCACCCCTGCCTTAAACAAATTGAAAGTCGAGCATTCTCTAATGGGTTGAGGAAGACTGTTCCACAGATGGCCACCCTTGACAGAGAGGATGTTCTGCCCAAATGCTGTCTGTCTATGTGGTATAAACAATTCTCCTCGAATTGTAGCTCGTGCTGTCCTGTTTGAGCTTTCTTTATGCCTAATGAACTGCTTTAGTGGTGGTGGAGCAAGGGAGTGTAAGACTTTATATATTAAACAGACTCTTAAGTTTCATTAAGTTATTGAAGTTCAGTAATTTATGTTTTTTTAACACATGACAACGGTGGTGGGAAGTCGGTTTTTTGTCAAGTAATTTTAAACTTCTTTTATAAATGTTTTCAATAGTTTTAAGTGTTGTTGGACAAGCGAGCGACCAGGATGTCAAACAGTAGTCCATATGAGAGATGATCATTGAGTAAAAATAAGTTTTTGCAACATTCATATTTAGATTATTACATATATGAGTAAAATTTCGATTATTACATTTAAGTACCTGGGACACTTTATTTATATGACTCTTGAAGGATAATGTTGGGTCTAGAATGACCCCAAGATATTTAAAGTCTGGTACTAGATCAAGCTCTACTCCATCCAGGAATATATCTGACTGCTTCAAGTTCAAGGGGCGTTTTGAAAAATACATACAGACAGTTTTTGAGGTGTTCAACATTAGGCATGAGTCGGGTAATATGGATTTAAATCAAAACGTTCTAGATTATCATTTATTTATGATGGAAAAATGTTCTTCCAGCCTCAAAAAATCCTTGTTGGGGCTCAAAATGGTCGAAGAGCCCTGATAAGTGGTCAGGCACAAGTCCCTAATAAAGCTCTACAATAGAAAGATTAGTTTGCCTTGCCCACCGACTTGAAGGGTAAATGAGCTGTTTGCTAGCTGGCCAGAGGTACAGGGATAATGTAAACATCCATTAAGTTTTTGGAATCCAGAGAACTTCCAGTCACTGTGTGTGTTCTTAATCCCTAAGTGTTACCAAAACAGCGGGGCTTTATCCTGACACCCATTCCTCATTCAAAGACTGGAAATCTAAAACTGGCAGAACACAAAACTGATTCTTAAAATGTTTTTCCCTTCAGAAAATCCTCCAGCTCCTGCCGGAAAGAATCCAGAGTCGGTGGCAGTTCCACAGCATCGGTAACTCTCCGCTCTTCTAGGAACATTTTACACGTTTAATCTGACGTTTTCCTTCTTAACCTGAGATGAACTTCATCAAGTAATGAACTATTTTTCTGTCAGGATTAATCCTGAAGAAGCTGTTGCACACAGGAAACTCTCTAAAGGTAACCTCTTCGTGTATTTTACCCACTCGACGTAGAACAGTTCACTTCGTGGTTACAAACGGTGATTTTTTTCGTTTTAGGAAAATCAAAACTATCCTAATTTTCCTCTTTTTTTTTCTTTTTTTTTGCAGATCCGTCGTGAAGGCGTGCGTTTGTTCTTGCTGTGGATGCAGGCACTGCAGAGCAACGCGGAGCACGAGCAGCTCTGCATGTTTGCATGTTTGATTCCCGGTTTTCCTGCTCCACTCTATCGTGGGACTCCACGCACCCTGGACACTCTGATCAACCCACCGCTGAGTCTGGTGGAGAGTTAGTACCACACAAACAAACTTTAATGCATGCTTCAGTGTTGTAAATGTTAACACACCATAAACCAGGGTATCCGCGGGTCCTTAAAAAGTCTTAAATTTGCTTTTCCAAATTTAAGGCCTTAAAAATCCTTAAAAATGACAAATAATCCTTAAATCCAGTTTCCAAAGGTCTTAAATTACCGAAGACCCAATAAACAAGATTCTTTGGTTTCTATAAAATTTTCGTGAATTTCTAGTTAGTGTTCAGCATTTTTGGTGTATGATGTTGCCGTAAGCAGAACCGTACACATTCAGTTGGTTGTGAAAGGGGGCTATTTTTAGATGAGCACATTAGCTGGTTAAGCTAGTGGGAGCTTGTGCCATGGGGAAGTGCAAGTTTAATGGTAACTGGATGGTTAATCCCACGTTTGCGACGTGGTTAGCACCGGTTCCAGGCAATAGCTGGAAATTATAGCTTAAATTTAATTAAAAAAAATAGCTTAAATTTGGTCAAAGTGGCCTTAAAAAAGGTCTTAAAAAGTCTTACATTTGGCTCCCTTAAACCTGCAGATACCCTGATAAACAGGATGTTGTCCTGCTGTCTTGAGTTAAAACAACCTCCCAACTTCTCCCTGCAGCTCAGGTGACACCTGAAGAAATCACACCATTGGTTGCTCCTCAGTCAGGTGACAAAAACCAGGAAGATCTCACTGCCTTCTTCCTAGAAGCTCTGCTGAAATACATGGTAAACCAGGTATTATCACCATTCTTTACTAACACGGTTAACACAGCATATCCACACAGTGAAAACGCACAACTAATCCTGAACACGGGAATCGGATTCCTGCCTGGAGTCATTAACCCCCTAAAACGCACATTGCATCCTCCTGTTTTTAGTGAAACTGCTGGTATCTCCTCTGCTTGGTGCTTGGACTGATGCATGCAGGCGCTCACACACTGAAAACGTTCTCCTGCTGAAACAATGGTGCTCTTCTCCGTTTGTTCCTTTTTTCTGTTCTCTCTTTAGGACACAACGTTTCTTGTTTGTGTCCAACAGGCCAAGTCACTGGAGTGGCGGTATAAAGAGAACCACGAACGCGGCTTCAACTTCCTCTATGGTCACTTTAGGAAGTTTTACCTTCCTCATATATTTCCCAACTTCGCCATGGAAACAAGCCTTTACAACCCCATCTTAGGTCAGTTATACGAGTCGGTGTAGATAGGCTAATAATAAATCATAACAGAGCCAGACTGCATGTAAACGACTCTCCTTTTCCCCGTAGACGTCCCACCGATGCGCTCTAAACCGTACTACAGCATGGTGCGCAGGGAGCAGGATGGTGGAGAAACGCTGTACTGCACCAAAGAGAGCTTCCTTCAGGCTCGAGTCATCTTCATCCGCTGGCTGGTTTCCTTCTGGTTAGAACCACGACCCAACACGCAGGCACACATCCCAGGAACAGAAGGAGAGAACATCCCTAAAAACCTACAGGTTGTTACTAATAGAGAGCTTTATTATTTATCTTTTCTATTTAAAGAAAAGAAGAGATCCAATCATATAAAACATCTAAAACCTTCTTGTACTGTTCACTCCAGCGAGCAGCAGCTGGACTGGCCGCTCGCTCTGCAGGCAGCTCAGACGACGGCAGTGGAGGAGGCGTTCGGTCTGAGAGCCACCTGGAAGTTGGCGTTGGCTCCTTGGGGCCGACAGGAGGCAGTTTGGGGGTTTCTGGGGGTCCGGGAGGGGAACCCGAACAAAGCCACTCCAACACGTCCACGCTAACGGAGAGAGAACCCAGCTCCTCCTCCCTCTGCTCCATGGATGAGGAGCAGCTGACTGACATGGAGGTGGTGAGGAGAGTCCTGACCAGCAACAGAACCAACGTCAACTTCATTGTAGAGATCTTTAGACAGGTGAAGGGAAACCCAACTGTGGTCTCATATCTGTTGTTCGTGATTTAATGTTGAGTAGCTGAGCTGTTCTGCTTCCGCCTGCTCAGGCGTTTCTTCTACCCATGTGTGAGGCGGCTGCCATGAGAAAGGTAGTTCGTGTTTACCAAGAGTGGATCTCCATGGAGGACAAGCCCGTGTTTATGAAGGAGCCAGAAGAAGGGCCCTATCCTAAACCTGCTGCCACCAGCGTGGACACAGGCTCTCAGCTTGGAGACAAAGAAGACGAGGTCAAATGTCCTGCAGTCAGCCGCTCCATCCGTCACACCGGCCACGTTAACACTGGATGCTGTTTTTCTCATTTTCAGGGAATGAACAGAGAGGTCGACGGTGAAATGCTGGAATACAGCGTTCATGCTGGAGTCCAAACAACAATACAAGTATGATCCCCACTCAACCTGCCCTGAGCATGTTTCTACGTTTAATTCTGATTTATCCACACTTAAAGCCGTCTTTCCGCCGGAGACGTAACGTAACAAGCACTGCACATCACTTTTGGGTCGGGTCTCATTTCTGGTTTTCTGTCAGTAGTTAATTAAATCTAATCATGTTTCTTCTGCAGGTTTTTATAACACATTCCTCCAACGTTTTCCTGCTGGAGCCTGCTAATGACATCAAGATTCTTTTAGAGGAGCATGTTGACATGTGCAAGCGAGTCCTGAACATCTACCGCAGCCTCGTCATGCATGAAACTATGGACCAAAAGACATGGTATAAAGAAACAAAAGTCTGATTCTCTAAATGTGTTCATTTTATCTTTATATAGAACGTCTCACCCTGCCCTAGCATTTGAGTAAAGAGCTGTTTTTAAGTTTAACTTTTGAACAACTGCAGGGAGCAGGTTCTGTTGGTTCTGCTGAGAGTGACAGAATCTGTAATGAAGAGACCTCCGTCCATCATGCCTCAAGGCAAGAAGAGCAACACGCTGTCGGGCCGGCTGGCTGGGCCGATATTTCAGGTGCAGAACTGTGAACACGGCCTGTTTCCACCTTCCACAAGGACGTTTCTATCTTACGCAGAATAGCTAATGAGCCAGGACGCTGTCACACACATTTGTTTGTTCATGTTCCTTTTGAGGAGAAAAGGTCACAACAGATGTCCAGCAATCGCTCGTTCATCTCAAAGAACACAGCTAGAATAAAAAATCCCTTTTTTATTATTATTATTACATCTGTGATTTGGGTGGAAAGCTTTCCAGTTTTTGTCAGTGTCTGATCATCAGGAACAGCAAGAATATCTGGGATGAACTATTAATAAGTCATGAGAACCATGAGGAAGGAGCTAGCATTAGCCTCACCCTCAGCTAACTTGCCTACATGAAAGCACGTCGGCAGAAGAGAGATGACTAAGTTCTGCTTTAGAAACCATGTCATACTTGTTGTTCTCTCACAATCCGTCACTCTGAGGTGTGTGTTTGATTAACATTAATCTTCTAGAAAATGAAATACCTGTTACGTGAAAAATGTGGTTAAATCATAAAATCAGGGTATCCGCGGGTCCTTAAAAAGTCTTAAATTAGCTTTTCCAAATTTAAGGCCTTAAAAATCCTTAAAAATTACAAATAATCCTTAAATAGTTTCCAAAGGTCTTAAATTACCAAAGACCCAATAAACAAGATTCTTTTATTTCTATAAAATTTTCATGAATTTCTAGTTAGTTTGGCATTTTTTGTGTATGACATTGGCGTAAGCGGAACCGTACACATTCGGTTGGTTGTGAAAGGGGGTTATTTTTAGATGAGCATGCTAGTGGGAGCTTGCGCCATGGGGAAGTGCAACATTAATGGTAACTGGATGGCTAATCCCACGTTCACGACGTGGTTAGCACCGGTTCCAGGCAATAGCTGGAAATTATAGCTTAAATTTAATTTTAAAAAATAGCTTAAATTTGGTAAAAGTGGCCTTAAAAAAGGTCTTAAAAAGTCTTAAATTTGGCTCCCAAAAACCTGCAGATACCCTGTAAAATACACTGTTCACTCAGATTTTGTAGGAACACCCGACTAAAGACATAGTTTATTAAACATGTAAACGATGTGGCGTTGTTGTGTTTTATTATTTATCATTCACCGCTGGGATCCTGTCACCTCCACTCTCCCTCTCTCCTGTGCAGACCTTAATAGTTGCATGGATCAAAGGGAACCTGAACGTTTACATCAGCAGAGAACTCTGGGACGACCTCCTCTCTGTCCTCTCCTCTCTGACCTGCTGGGAGGAGCTGGTCACCGAGTGGTCGCTCACCATGGAGACGCTCACAAAGGCATGAGTCAAACTACACGAACATCTTGTAAATGGGAGTGCAGTAACGAGCTGATGAAGTTGTGTTTACACGTTTCAGGTGTTGGCGAGGAATCTGTACAGCGTAGATCTGAATGAGCTGCCTCTGGACAAGCTCAGTGAACAGAAGCAGAAGAAACATAAAGGAAAAGGTTCGTTACTAGGGTTGCACTATGTTGGAAAAGATTCACACTGCAATGTTTTTCTGACCTGCGATATAAAAATTACAGAAATTATCAACAGACATGATTTGTTATTCTACACTCCTGCCAGCTAGTTGACGGTGAACCTGTGAGTCTTTCTTGTCCCTCGTACTCTAGTTTATGTTCTTCCGGGTCAAGTCAGCCTTTTATTTGTGAACATAAATAAATCATAACTGTAGACACGGTAAAACCTTTGTCGAACCACTCGGAAACTCAAAATAATGTCTAACGCACTCTTCAAAGCCTCATATTACTGACAGAACTGAGCCATCTTGAACAACGTCGGTCTTTTATGTCCACAAGGGTCTCAATTAGTGTCCTCCAATAAATTAGTCCACAAGTCTTACATCCACAGTCCAACATAATAAACAGAAGGAAACCTTCCGATGTGTCTCCTCCTCACAAATTTTTCATCATAGCCTCCGTTAGCATCCTAATGCTTCAGACTGATCGACATCTTACCTGATCTGACAGGTGAAGGGTTACCTCCCTGCTGAGGCGGATGGGTCAGAAGCCCTGCCCCCTATTCTCATGCGTGTAGCTAGAACCAATTACAGCGTGGTAGTATGTTGTTGATTGTTGCATCAAATAATCAGTAAAATTCAGAAAATAACAAAAACTCCACGAAACCAGCCCCTCATAGTCTGCTTCTGCAACCTGAGTGAGAACGATTGTGATTGGTGGATGGTCAGGGCCCTTTAGCTTTAGATGAGAACACGTTATCGCCTCTGTCAGTGCGCTCCAGGGCAGCTGTGGCTGCATCGTAGCTCATCACCATCAGTGTATGAATGGATGAATGATGCACTGTAGTGTAAAGCGTTGTGGAGTCCTTACTCTGAGAGGCGCTATACAAGTGCGGGTCATTTATCATTCATCATTTATCTGCCATCGCCGCAGGACCAGTGTTACTAAAGCCGGGCGTACACTGTGCGACTTTTTCACTTGTAGCGCTCAGCTTCAGCTCACACTGTACGACTTCCTCGCAGGGCAGATCTCACGAGTCATGTGCTCACACTGCACGTCTGGTAGCAACACGTCGGCCCTAAAAATATGCTAAAAATAGCAGTTTTTACTCAGTTTTTTTGTCTTGTCTTGCCTGTTGTCCTTCGGGAGTGCTGCAGGAGGACACACAGGGATTTATGGGGGTTGGATGAGGAAAACGAAATAAAGAAAGTAAATCTGTGTTTTGTGATCAGTTTAATTTGACATGAACACGACAAACACGCTTTCTTGACAATCTTTGTGAGTAAAAAACGTGTAGAAACAAAAACGAACAGCGTGTCTTATTAGGGAAATAGTGAGCGAGCGGCGTTGATGCATGATTGCGCATGCGCCGTGAGCGGTTCTGATACATTTTGGGTCGCAGCTGCTCGCAGCGCCGCTTCAACAGTGCGATACCCTCACGAGGGACGAGCGAAATATTAAACACGCCAGAAGTCCGTGCGACCTCACGACTGCTGATCGGCAGCTGGTCACGTGGTGTTAATGGCCTCTCGTAACCCCCTGTACACTACACGGCCGCTCGGCGCAAAACTCGCCCCGATGTCGTGGATCCTCGTACGACTGGAAAATCGGCTCAAAAAAGTGAAAAAGTCGCACAGTGTACGCCCGGCTTAACATGGACACAAACATTGTGATGCAGATGCTCAAACACGATGCAGCTGGATGTTTCAGATGCTGCATAAATCCAACTCTTACATAAAATAGTCTGAAATAGCAGGATGGAGACGTCCTGTTGCATTTTTAAACCGGAAACTTAAAAAAACGACTCTTGACCCCTCTCTCCATAGCAGCTTCAGACCCATCTCTAAACTTCCGTTCATCTCCAAGATCTTGGAAAAGGTTGTGGCTAAACAACTCACAGCTGCTCTTGAAGAACAGAACATCTATGATAGCTTCCAGTCAGGTTTTCGTAGAGCTCATTCTACTGAAACAGCTCTTCTTAGGGTCTCTAATGACCTTCTGACTCACAGTGATGCAGGGGACTGTTCTGTTCTGGTCCTGCTGGACCTGACTGCATCCTTTGACACTGTTGACCATCACCTGCTGCTGGAGAGGCTGAGAGACACCCATGGTGTCCCACAAGGTTCTGTGCTGGGGCCTCTGCTCTTCCTCCTCTATCTGCTTCCTCTTCAGCACATCCTGAGCTCCTTCAAAGGAATCTCCTACCATCTTTATGCAGATGACATCCAACTATAGATCTCCTTTAAGCCCCATGAGATGTCTAAGCTGCAGCTGTCACACACCTGCTTAGACTCTATTCAAACCTGGATGGCTGGGAGCTTTCTACAGCTGAATGAAGATAAGACTGAGATCCTCATCTGTGCCCCAGACAAGCTGGTTCCCAAAGTCAGAGACTCTCTTGGTCAGCTTGCTTCTCACACCAAACCTTCTGTCAGGAATCTTGGTATGACCTTTGACCCAGCTCTCACCCTGGATTCTCATGTCAGTTCTCTTGTTCGCTCTTGCTTCTTCCATCTCAGGAACGTTGCTGAGCTGAGTCCCATTCTGTCTCGCTCTGAACTTGAGACAGTTCTCCACACCTTCATCTCCTCACGCTTAGACTACTGTAACTCTCTTTTCACGTGTCGGAGCAGAACCTCCCTGAACCGTCTACAGGTGGTTCAGAACGCCTGTGCTCGGCTTCTGACCAAGTCCTCCAAACACACCCACATCACCCCGCTTCTCCTCCAGCTTCACTGGCTGCCAGTCAACTTCAGGGTTCATTTCAAGATCCTGGTTCTGGTCTATAGGGCCTTACATGGACAAGCACCATCTTACATTGGTGATCTTCTTAGTCCCTACACCCCCAGCAGGTCCCTGAGGTCCAGTGATCAAAGCCTACTGGTTGTACAGCACCAGGCTAAAGACCAAAGGTGACAGATCATTTGCTGCTGTGGCCCCCAGACTCTGGACCTCTCTCCCCCTGAGCCTGAGATCAGTGGACTCAGTGGTCTCCTTTAAAAAGCAGCTGAAGACTCACTTGTTCAAGCTGGCTTTTGTATGACCTTCTTCACCTCTCTCTCTTTATTCTGCTCTCCCCACCTATTCCACCTTCCTCAGGATCCACTGATTTCCCTCTTTCCTATTCACTCTCTCTCTCTTTCTTTAACTTTTTTAATCACAATTGTCTATTTTTGCTCATTTTAAATATATTTTTAACCGTTTTCTAAATTCTTTTTTATATTTTTTGTTTTTATGAAGCGCCTCGTGATTTTTATCTTGAGAGGCGCTATAGAAATGATATTTTCTTCTTCCTCTTCTTTTTAAGCATTATGTTATAAAGATGCACCAACAGCAGGTGGTCCAACCACAGTAAACGAAAGATGTGTTATCTGTTGATGCTCCAGCTGTTGGTTCAGACGGCCAGCGGCAGGTTGTGGACCGTTCCTTCTCTAAAGGCTGGAGCAGAGACCAACCGGGTCAGGCGGCAGCCATGAGGCAGCGGAGCGCCACGACTGCCGGTTCGCCCGGCATCGAAAAGGCGAGAAGCATCGTCCGTCAGAAGACCGTAGGTCAGTATCATCTCTGCTGCTTCAGTAACGACCCAACTTTTAGTCAGCATCGTTTCCTCACAGATGCTAAGTTTTCAGCTGTGTTAAAATAAAAAGCTAAACTCAAAGTGAGGATGAAACGCATCATGCGAGTAGGAATGTTGTTTTCCTGTTTTTGATCTGCCTTCACCCTGTCACTAGAGCTAATTCTCTCTCACTCATCCATCCTTCACCGGTCTCTCTTCTACACCTTTAACCCTCTCACTGATTTCTTGTTCTTCCTTCACATTTTATACTTTTCTTGATTGTGAATATTTTTAATTTCACCACTTCAATCCTTTCCTTCACTGTTTAATCTCTCTTCTGTCTCTTTATTTTTTTATTTAATTTTTCTTCCTTCTCCACCCAAACATCCACCCGTCTTACTTCTCTGTACATCAACTCTTTTTCTCCCCTCCTGCTTGGTTTTCTCTCTTCTCCTCCGACTTCCTCAGCCCTGCGTAGCTGTTCTACCGGCGACTCTCTGCTGTCCTCAGCCTTTATCCGCAGTGCTAAGAGTGCTCCTGCTCTGGCTCCGCCTCTTCCTGTCCTCCACCACCACCCTTTTCTACCCCCCCTTGCCGACAATCTGGCAGGTACACTCTCTTTGCTCTACCTGTCGGCCTGCTGCCTGGACACTGTAGCCTGCGACATGCCTATCAGGACTGTTTCACGCGACTTGTCCAGAAAACCTGAGCGTGCTTGGTTGTAGTTTAGTAAACACTTGTTGCATGCGATGAATGTGGAGCCACGACCTTTAATAAAACGTGTTTACGTGCCTCTACCTCTCTCAAATGCACCCCGATTTCAGCCTCACGGAAAACGTGTTTTTAGATCTCTTGGTTTTCATGGTTATATGGAAAATGCCACAGATCATCCAGCTTACGTGCATGCAGAGTATTCATTAACTGCTTTGCACTGACCATTTATGGCAGAAAGTGGGTGTGTAGGAGGCGGGGTGCGATCCAAAAACACCTGAGGACATTTTGAGTTAGTTTTAAAGGTCTTAAAGTTTTTTCTTTGTGTTAGTAAATGCTTTTTGCTATGCTTAAGTTTGGTTTTAGTACGGATTCTTTTATAAACGAAGCCCCTGGTTTGATGATTTTCATTTCATGTGTTCAGAGTGTAAATTCTTGTTTTTTAATCTTCATCACCAGACCTCGATGATGCACCGATCCCGCTGTCGTCTCACGCCACCCGAATGCGCCACTCGTCCCAGAGCGACGAGGCTCCTCCCGCCTCCTGTTCTGATGTCTTCCAGGGAGCGGCTTGTGACCTGGATATCCTAGGTCCAGCTTCTCTTGCCAGGAGCAGCAGTGCCTCTGACATCATGGAGCCCTTCATCGCAGAGCGGGTCAAAGGTGAAGAGCCCCAGGGGGACCCCCTTTCATTCCCAAATCCTCCCCACCACCACTCCACAACTCCCTCCTTAGTCGCAGCCAACAGCCACACAGCTCAGCCACTCTCACAGTCCCTCACCTCCTCTACTACCACACCTTTTACCCTCTCCAACGGTGTTTCCATATCCTCAGAGGCACAAAATGGTAATGGTGTGTATGACCAGCCTTGGCTCCAAAGCGGCTCTCAAAGCCATGGTTCTGAGTGGGTTAGTGACTGGAACTCAGCCTTCACCTTTTCACCTGAAAAGGAAATTGATGCAGACGAGGGGGAAATGGGGGCTGAGGTTGAGGAAGACGATTTATTCTCTTCTATCAGGGACTACTTCAGTCACAAAGCAAGTGAAAGAAAGGAGGGGGCCGTAGAAGCGGATAGTTCTGGTCATGATTCAGAAAACTGCAGTACTTTACCTGCAGCGGTGCAAAAGCAGTCGCAGCTGGAATATGCGGGACTTGGCGAGGAAGGAAAACAGGTGATCAGTGAGGACAGACAGGTGAGTAAATCAGTGAGACACAGCAGTGTGGATTCCACCGAGGAGAGCGAGGCAGAGCAGCGCAGCATCTACGAGTGTCTGGAGCTGCAGTGCGAGTGGCCGTCGCCCAACGTTAAAAGCAGCGCTAGCTTAGAGAGGAACTCAGGCGAGAAAAGGGGAGGTGGCACTGGAACAGGACTGGAGAGGGAACCTGACATCTGGGGTGAGCTGGGAGAAACAAAACAAGATTATAAGGAAGAAGAATCAAATGACAGATCCAGTCTGATTAGGGAAGATGTAGGCACAAGTGACCCAACCGCTGGATCAAGTCCCCAGATCTCCGACTCAGCTAAGACCAAAATGTCCCGCAGTAGCACCAAACGACACAATTCTGGAGGTGTTCATGTCAGTTTCCGTCCTTCAACCGAGTCCGTTCAGTTCCACAACCCTCTGGAGACCAAGGAGGCCCACTGGAAAGCCAGGCTGCGTCGACTCAGTCACTTTCACACACACAGCCACTCGGCTGGGGAGAGAGCTGGCAGGTTGGGGTCAGGGACGGGAGGGAAGCCAGCAGCAGAGGGGACAGGTAAGTTTGGCTCTGGGACTGGAAGTGGCTGCAGAACAGGGTCGCATGAGAAGTTTTTTCCTGGAACTACTGTGGAATTTAGTGGGACAGGAAGTATGGATGGTGGCAGCCTGGAGAACAGGCCTGGTCCTGGTGGAGACAAGGACAAGCAGCAACCTGGATCCTGTTTGGGATCCAACCCGGGCCCTGAAATCAGCTCAGAGGTCCTGCCCTGTAGCTCGGGCTCCTCGGCCATGTCCTCTGTAGTGCGCGGACGATTAGGACGTCCCGCCTTGCGAACTCGAGTTTCCCGCTCACGCTCGCAAGAGCCCGGCAGCACTACCGCACGTCACCACCAGGGAGCTCTTCTAGGTGGCGTCTATAAGACTGTTGTCCACGCACTGTCCTCTAAACCTCGTCCCAGAGGCCAGGGATCATCCCAGGGCTCATCACCTCAGCGTCAGGGTCGGGCTGCCATGGGCGACGCGTCGCTAAAGGACCTCTACTCCCACGTCCTGGGCTACTTTGGACGAAAGACGCCCACGCCAGGTGAGGATTGCAACGACTGAAGTGCTGATAAGAGGACAGCTGTGGAGAAAAATACTCACCAGTAGATAAACACCAGCGACTTTTTTTCTTTTTGGCTGTTTTTAACTGGTTTGTTATGATGGAATGATATTTTTTTGGCTGAAACTCATCATCTTGCTGTTGGACTGAAACCAAATCCCTGTTGATGTGTTTCCTGTTGAACGTAGTCCCTCCTCCAGCCTGCCTCCTTTTTTCAAGGATCCCACTTCCTCCCATACCCTTTCACTTGTTTCTTTAGGTCAGACCTCCCTACCTCCTCCTATCTTTTCTAAGGGCTTTGGGATTTTAACCTTTTCACCTCCTCCCCTTCTCCACCTCCTCCCTTTCTTCGATTTCTGCATGCGGCCTCCTTGCGCCTCCTCCCTGGAAATAAGTTTGTCGGTTTGACAAAAGGCGACAACGGTCTACTGAGAAGCACAACTGTCTATGGAAGCAATGAAAGCACCAACTTAAGGAAAACTGAAGGTTCAGCTGACAGATGCTTCAGAGTTTAGTTAGTGGTTGTCACAGGAAAAGGGTTCCTGGGCTGTAGTTTATTTTTCTCCACTAGATGGCAGCATTGAGTCTGAGTAAGGTGACCATCCTCTTTACTGGAATGGTTCCTTAATAAATATTTATTTATTTAGTCTTTTAAATGATTATGTGATCTTGTGTTTCATGAAATCACTTTTAATTCTGAACCTGAATCTATCTGGATGTGGACAAGATTGAAAAGTTGTACGTATTTTTATTATTTTTTTTACTAAATTCACAATATTATTTACGTCCAATTAAACGTTTGGTTTGTTTACATATTTTCCACCTCTGCAGTATTCCAAGATGCTATTTACAGAAGTCATTTGTGTACTTTAGTAATCGCATCTTATTCGGTTTTATTAATTCTTAGTGATTTAAATCAGCTGTGATTTGCTGAGGGATGTCGATCCCGCGAAACTCCGACCTCCCTGTTCTCTAACATTGAATGATTTTTGGATTTTCAGACAAAACTTTCTGTGTTGCTTGAAGTTTTACTGGTCTGGCATCTTTTCTTGCCATCCTGTTTGGATTTGGCTTTCAGGCGCCCGTTAATTACGCCTCGGTTTGTGTTGAAGTGGTTTGTTAGATATTAACTGCATTGAATTGCTGAGAGAAAAGTATTTTTTAAAGTCTGCCTCCTGTAATTTTAGGAATAACAGCAGATATTTTAAGTTTTCGTCAGCAGATCGTTGTTTATTTGACACCACGTCTTAAAAATGGACCTTTTAGTAGACTTTTTGCATGTTGTTGCTTTTTCCTCACAGTTTTGCGTTAGATAATCTCCAGATATAATCCACACTAAGAAGAAGTCTGGATAACAAACTGATTGTGTTTGATTATGCATAGAATAATCCTGCCAATGCTCACGGAAGCAACAGAGGGGTTGAACGTGTTTACTCATTTGGTCCCAACAGAGGCCGACGTAGCGTCGAACCTGCAGGACACAAGATGTAAAGCATAGGTTGTCTCATTCTTGTCGTTTTAAAATGTAAACTGTTTTATTCTGTGGAGATTTAATTAGATATCACACTGAGCGCTGAATTTGCATTGACACTAATGATAATGTAACTCAAGTCTGACTTCACTAATATCGGCCTTTTTCTATTTGCTGCTTGTTTAAGTCTAACAAAGTAACTGTTTTTGTCTTTGTGCATGATGTGAATTAACTCCTGCATCGCTTCTCTGGGTTGGAATGTGCCTGTTGTGGCTTTTTTTTTAACCATTAATTATTTAACAGTCTCTAAATTCAAAGTGCGTTCACATCAGGGCTCTTTGTACAATAAATGGAGATTTCATAAGTCAGCTCCTGCTAGAAAATAAGTAACATTTGTCTGTTTTATTGACGATTCTTGAAGGTTTTTTGGGAGGAACAAAAACAGGTTCTGATCCAAAATAAACCGTCATCAAACCTTTATGTTGGATTAAATTAATTTAGGCTAATAGATCAGCAGCTAACAGACCCCAAGTGATAATTCACCATCTTCCTCGTTGCTCAAAATTTTGCTTGTTTGAGTTTTTTGTCTTTAACTCTAAAAGTGTGTTTGCTTGTGCGTGTACGTGTGTAGTTAACAAAGAGGAGGTGGTCCAGAAGGCCCGTCCAGTCTCCAGTGACGTGGGAAGCAGCAACCCAAACTTCTCAGACCAGATGGATGAATTCATTCAGGAGAGGCTGAGGGCCAAACGAACAGTGGTCAGTGCATCAAGGGCTTCGCTTTCTCATTAAAATGTCACACCATCTAAACATCTTGATCTGCCTGACCGGCAGGGTCGCCGTGGCAGCAGCCCCGTGACCCTGGAGGTTCCCAGAGACTTGCCCGAGCTGCTGGAGGGCGGTCAGTCTTCAGCGTCACATCAGGCAGCTGATGATGTTCCGTCGGCGTGGACGTCCCCTGCCAGCGCCAGCGGGTCTGATGTCATCAGCTTCGGCAGCCAGTCAGACTCCTTCAATGCCTTTCAATACTCAGCCTGCAAGTTTGATAGTAAGGAACTACTTATTCTACTTAAAGGGACTTTTCGGACTTTTGAATTTTTATGCTCGCGATTGCCCCCTCAGGCCAAAAGCGTAACGGCAGCTTCAATAGTAGGCTCGTGCACGAGGCGCGCATGCTGTACGTGCACACTCCTTAACGAAAATAACAGCTGAGACAGTCCCGTGTGTGTGTGTGTGTGTGTGTGTGTGTGTGTGTGTGTGTGTGTGTGTGTGTGTGTGTGTGTGTGTGTGTGTGTGTGTGTGTGTGTGTGTGTGTGTGTGTGTGTGTGTGTGTGTGTGTGTGTGTGTGTGTGTGTGTGTGTGTGTGTGTGTGTGTGTGTGTGTGTGTGTGTGACCCGGAGGACAGAGAACAGGAGAACGCGCAGCTAATTAATTAAATAATGTGGTTCTGTACCTTTCTCTTCAGCACAGCCGACAAAGGTTTATGATGGGTCAGTCCTCCTGCATGCTCAGATCATTCCCTTCCCTTGCTTGAAAAATTGTTCCAAAATGAAAGTTGAACCCACATCTTTTTCATCTGTGAATTCAGTGCCGTTCGGCGAGTCTCAAATAAAAATTTGGGCATCTTACTGTAAAAAATATACCATTAATGTAAAATATAAACTCTAAATGAACTATGTTCACATCGAGAATCAAACCCAGGTCTTCTGCATGGGAGTCAGATATCTTACTAGGTGAGCTACACTCTAGTAACATTTACAGTATCTAACTTTTATATCCTTGATGACAGCTGAAACAACGTCAAACCAAAGAACAGTTCGGAGTGAAAATGGCTATTTTGTTGCTAATTTGCAGGAAATATCTAGAAGAAAGTTCTACAGAAAGTAGCTAAGGGTCCTCAGAAATGTAGCTAGCTTTGTCACTAGGCGTTAGGAACAGCGACAAAGTGGCACTGCCTCTCTCTCTGCTGCTAAAGCTACGGATAGCAAACGCTACGGGCGATGCCTGAGCGTGAACGCGCATGAAGCAGCCTGCTCGACCCGAGCATCTCTCTTTTTCTGTGATTTTACAGAAAAACAGGCAATCACAGTAAAAATGCCAGGGCTCATTCTACAGGACCAGGGCATTGCAGGAGAACGTATGAAGAAGACATTTATTATTTCTATACATGCTTTGGCTGTCACACTTCCATAGAGTCCCTTTAAATCATAATGTAATTTTTTGTAATACTCTGTTAAATATGTAGAAATATGTATCTGTATAATCCTGTTGCTCCATAAATACAGCCGCTCACATGAGAGAGAGAATCCCAACAACCCTCACTAAACACCCTGCTGCTAATCAACTAAAGGGACTTTAACTGTAAACACCTTCTGCTAATAAACTCATAATTCATGTTTGTGAAAATGAAATTGGGGAATGATGGTCAGAGAGGCTGAAGCAGCACTTTATCATTTATAATGATTGTTTCTCATGCAGCACCTTCTGCACTGTAACTGCTCAGTCTGTAACTTTGTCTTTTTATTTTACTTCTTACCTCGAATTTAATTAGTGTATTTTTAGATTTGATTTTACAATCTGCTGTTTTATGTTGTCGCATTGATTTTAATGTTTTATGTTTTTCCTGATCTTGCACCTGGAAAGCACATTGAATGACTTCTCTGTATGAAATGCGTTATATAAATAATGAAGCTTCCTTGGAGGGTTTCTTATTTAAAAAAACCTTCAAAGTCAGATTTGTTTAATGTTTTAAGTCACCAAAGAATATTTACTTTTTACTTTTTCATTTGCATTTCTGCCTTCAGCCACACAAGAGAACTGTTTATGTTTTCCTGGCATTTTTTAAAATTGCTGCGACTATTCTGCATATATTCTTTTACAGATTTTACCTTTAGTTCAGACACTTGTGGAGGAGGAGCTGGGTCTGGAGGCGGCGGTCGAGGCAGCTCACTGGACCAGGACAGTCTGGGCGGGGGCTTAGCCTGTGATGAGCAGGAAGTGGCCAGTTTGACAACACTTCACATCGACTCGGAAACCAGCAGTCTTAGCCACACCGTCACTGTTACTGGTATGTGCACATCAGGAATTACCAATGAAATTACAAATAACTGGAAAATGATTCTGAAACGGTTCATCATCTGTAGGGATGTCCCGGTGCAACTTTTTTCACTTCCGATAAGATATCGATATTGCAGCCTTCAGTATTGACCGATACCGATATCAGCACAAATCATACGTACTTTTACCTGTTTAATAGCGTGGAATGTATAAAAGGCTCGATCAAGTGATATTACTCAGACAGAAAACAAAAGCCAGCGACAGTGAGTATAAAACACTGACCAATTTTTTATTAACCTGTGGTTGCATCAACGTGAACAGCTGAGGTTAGGGACATATGGAAAAAAGCACAATGTTGTTCACTGACCCAACTGCTACAAGTTAAGTGTCTAAAGTTTCTATTTCACACCCTGAAAAAAATCCTCAAGCAATGTTTGGTGATCCTGCTTCAAACGCACGATGAGGTTGAACATAGCAATCTTCCCCGGTTCTGTTCCACCACGGGAAACGTGTGCATGACAAGTGTTGCACTGAGTAACGAAAAACACAGCCACATGGCCGGCATTGTTCCTTGCTACTTTGCTAGCACGCACTGTTCTGATCACGTGGACTTTGCATGCGGGATCTGGGCGCCGATGGATGGAATTGTTGGAATGGAATTTAAAGCGGAACTTTCTGCTAATATCGGAGATTTTTGATGCAGTCCGATATAATCCGATAGTGTTTTGGGGCCGATATCAATATCAGAACAGGACATCTGTAATCACCTGTAGCGTAAAGATAAATGGAAGGCTTGTCACGTGTTCTCCTTCCTTAGGTTCTGAGAGCGCTTCGCCCATGCATTCCCTTGGAGGTTCTCGTTCCCAGACCCCCTCCCCTGCCACTCTGACAGCCGATCACTCTGATCACACACACTCACACACACACCTCCAGCTGGACCAGAAACTCCACAACTCTGTTCTGCAGACCCCCGACGACCTGGGTAATTCTCCTGCTTACAAACATCTCACTTCTGTTGGTTAATCCTATTTATGAAGAGTAACGTGATCCAGGAAAACACTTTAAAGTCACATTTCTGCTTTTAATGAGACGAGAATCCCAGATTGACTTATTGATCGGTTCCAGAAACCAGTGAGTTCCCCACTGAGGACTGCAGTGTGATGGCAGGCGGTTCTCTAACTGGGTGGCACGCAGATGTTGCCACGGTGATGTGGAGGAGGATGCTGGGCATCCTGGGAGATGTTAACAGCATCAAGGACCCAGAAATCCACGCTCAGGTCTTTGACTATTTGTGTGAACTGTGGCAAAACTTGGCTAAGGTGAGAGCTAGCGAACACATTTTTTTGTTCCCCAACTTTGAAAGTGGTAAAAACTGGTGGTGTTTATTTATTTATTTATTTTTTCAGATTAGGGATAATTTGGGTATTTCTTTGGACAACCAGTCGTCTCCCCCACCTCCTGTTCTAATTCCTCCACTCCGAATCCTCACCCCTTGGCTCTTTAAGGTAAGTGTGAGTGAAAAGTCACCAGGATTTCTAATCCGAACTCAAGTGTTAGATGAAACGGGTTTCTTTCCACATATACTGGATAAATGACAAAAAGTAAATAAAATAAAATTTCTGTGTTTTATTTATTTATTTATTTATTTTTGCTGTTGTTGTTGCGTTCTCTCATAAGGCCACCATGTTGACGGAGCGTTTTAAGCAAGGGAAGCTTCACGCCTACAAACTTATATGCAGGATCATGAAGAGGCGACAGGATGTTTCTCCAAACATGGACTTTCTCACACACTTCTACAACATCATGCACCAAGGGTTGCTGCACCAGGACCAGGTGGGCTTTTCTAAAACGGTCAAAGATTATGCAATAATTGAAAACTAGCATCTAATTAAATAAAAAAGATAGGGTGGATTATCCTGGAAAAAGCTATTTACAGTGAGAAAATCCCAAAAGAGTTTAACGTTTCAGTCATTTTAGAAGGAAGGAAGGTTATGCTGAAACATCTTTCATACCCAGCTGGCTTGGATTCCCACTTTTTCGTCATCGTCTTCCTCCGCTTATCCGTGTCCGGGTCGCAGGGGCAGCATCCCACCTAGGGAGCTCCAGACTGTCCTCTCCCCGCCTTCTCCACCAGCTCCTCCGGCAGGACCCCAAGGCGTTCCCGGACCAGATTGGAGATGTAACCTCTCCAACGTGTCCTGGGTCGACCCGGGGGCCTCCTGCTGGCAGGACATGCCCGAAACACCTCCCCAGGGAGGCGTCCAGGAGGCATCCTGACCAGATGCCCAAACCACCTCAACTGACTCCTTTCGATCCGGAGGAGCAGCGGTTCTACTCCGAGTCCCTCCCGAATGTCCGAGCTCCTCACCCTATCTCTAAGGCTGAGCCCGGCCACCCTACGGAGGAAACTCATTTCGGCCGCTTGTATCCGCGATCTCGTTCTTTCGGTCATTACCCAAAGCTCATGACCATAGGTGAGGATTGGGACGTAGATCGACCGGTAAATCGAGAGCCTGGCTTTCTGGCTCAGCTCCCTCTTCACCACGACAGATCGGCTCAGCGTCCGCATCACTGCAGACGCCGAACCGATCCGCCTGTCGATCTCCCGATCCCTCCTACCGTCACTCGTGAACAAGACCCCGAGATACTTAAACTCCTCCACTTGACTAAACAAAGGAAGGTCAGTGAGTGGGGGTGCCGTGTCTCCTGCCACAGCTCCGACAATTGTAATTTGACGACGGCTGCCAAATAGCTCCAGAGTTGTCTAAAGTGGCTGCAGTAACCACGTTTTACCACAGAATGTATTTTTACTTCATTACTACATATGCACCTGTACTCTATAGGACATTGTGAACACCATCATCAAACACTGCAGCCCAAGGTTCTTCAGCATCGGTCTACCTGGGGCCACCATGTTGATGCTGGACTTCATCGTTGCAGCTGCTAGAGTCACAGCCTGTTCGTCGCTCAATGTAAGAAACAGAAATTGCAGATGTTTAGTTTACATTTTCTCGTTTTCTCACCTTTCGTCCTTTTGTCTCCTCTCTCAGGCTCCCAGAGTGGAGGCCCAGATCCTCCTTGGGTCTCTTGTGTGTTTCCCTAACTTCTACGAGGATCTTGCCGCCCTCCATCCGACTACGGCTGACGTGGTGCTAACAAAGTTTCCTGACATCAAGGTAGACTGCAGTAATATGTGTGTGTCTGAACCCAAACCCAGAAACTTTGATCTGGGTCGGTCCTAATGCTGTAACTCATGCCTGCTGCCCGCGGGGGATCTCTGAGCCACATGTTAGGTTAATGTCTCATCAGATATTCCTGAAACAGCTCAGGGCTGTGGGAGTAATGTTGTTTTTGTTGTTGTTGCCGTATAAACGGTTAATTCCAATGCGTGGCAGCACCTCAGGCCCTCGCTCTGCTTTCTTACGAGCCAGAAACTTGTTTTGAATCACTAAGCAATCATTAACAGCACTGAAAGGACGGGACCAGAGCGTGTGTGTGTGGAACTGTGTGTTTTGTGCTGCATGTGTGTATTTGATGTACAGCATAAAGGCGTGTGTGAGTCTTTGTGATTTCTAGATGCTTATTCATTGCACACACTAGATTTGATGGTTATGTGGATTTATTTCACCTTTAGAAGACTTTCGTAACTATTTGGTTATTTGTATTTTTAGGAGCACATAATCAAAACCATCCTGACTTCAGCCAGGGAGGAACCCTCGGCTCCTGCTAGGTAAGAGCTGCAGGAGGAGGTTATTCAACTTTATCACAAAGATGTGTGTGATTGAATGGATTGGGCTGTTTGCGTACAGCTTAAATGAGAAGAAGTGGAATTAGAGATAATACACTTGTCTGTGGATTTGTTAACCAGGGTACCTAAAAGGGAACGTTGTCAGGGTGAAATCAGTTTGGAGAATCTGGGAGAAACCCTTCAAATATCAGCCTTTCAGATAGCGATGGGTAGAGCCCTGCACGGGCCTAAAATCTGAGCCCGTGTCCGGCCCGGCCCGAGGGGGTGGAGCCCCAGCCCGACCCGGTCCGAAAAGGTTTTCAGAGTTCTCTGGCCCGACCCGAGCCCGACTATTTTTAACCAACTAAATGAAAACAAAGTGCGTCAATCCTGACCAATGTGTTAAAAAACGTGCAGGATCCGATCAATTTGTTTTTCCCTCATTTATCGTCACAGAGATAACGGCGCAGTGGCTCTGGTGGTAATCAAGTTAAATTTTATCTCTTTCCAACAATTTTCACAAGAAAACGAAACAGTTAAAAGCAGGGCTTGTGTTGACCGGACAGTTCCCGTATTTGACCGTTTATTTTGACGGAGAAAGAATAGAAAGAATTACCCCGACGCATGCAGACGAACTGACATTTTATTCTACGCACATCGCAGATGTAGCTTAATCACTCAAGAAAAGATTCCCATCTGAACATCTGAGCTGGACACTGCTCAGCGCAGCTCGCTGTCAGCGCGTATGTGCACAGCGAGCTGAAGATGTGGAGATTGGCTTGGAGAGCGACGCAGAACCAGAGCGCCTGCAGGAAGCTTCCTCCCACTGAAGCGTGTGTTTTCCAAACCCTGTCTCTCAGAGAGACTTGTCACTTAGAAAATGTTCCCTGATTATGAAACTTTGGCTGAATAGTGCTTGTTCCTGTCTCCAATGTGGCGACACATCCAGGAGCCGTCTGAGGAGAAGCCCAGAATCTCACATCCTCTTCAGCTCAGGAAGCGCCTATGATTACACACAAGCGTGACGCGTCAACCCGGTCTCACAGTTTACGCAGACAATCTTTACATAGAATTGACTTGCAGATATAAAATTAATGCAGTAAAATATAAAGCTTTTTATTTAAATATCCATTCATTATTTTACAAGCACAGAGAGCCGCATCAGATGGATGGAAGAGCCGTGGGTTGCCGGCCACTGGTATAGCCTATAAAATAACATGTTGAGGACGCAAACTCAATACATCTCTTTTATTGTGAGGTAATAATTTCTCAGAGTTTTGCAGTTGCAGGCGGAAGTGTAACACACGCGTTGCCGTTGCGGGCGGTAATGGTCAGAAATTCAGCGGGAGCGGGCAGGAGCGGGATGAAGAAAACAGTCCCGCGCAGGGCTCTACTGCTGCGTTTAAGTGTTTCAATTTTCTTATGAATTCGATTAAAAATAAAGGCGCCCGGCCCGTGTCTGAGGTAATTACACAGTCATTGGCCCGAGGGCCTAGGGCTTCAGTGCAGTTTCAGATCAGAATATGGGAATTTCCACCATCTAAAGCATCGAATCCCACTTGCTTCATGTTACAATGCTGTTCACCTTCATTATAAATAACCATCTAATGCAAAAGAGACATCGTGTAGAAATTACAACGACAAACACACTTGTGTTATAAAAGTTTGACATTTAATGATTCAAATGGTGGAAATTCTCTCCCAGGGTTCTTAGAGTTCCTTGAAATCCTGGATGAATATTTTCACGGTTTAGAAAAAAATATTTAAAGTTTTTAAAAGTGTGTCTCAGTAATATTTTTACTTTTATGGGATTAAGGAATTAAATGACCATGTTAGTGAATCGTTAGTTTATTTACTTGTGAGTCTTTCCCTCGTCTGATGCTGGGAACCCTTGAAAATGCTTCAACTCGATTTTGGTAGACAAGTAGGGCCCTCGCTCTGGAAGACGAGCCTCTGTTGTGTTTAGCTTCATTCCTCCAGGAAAAATAATCTGATTCACCAAACTGAAATTGCTCATAATAGGGGTTGTATCGACTAGTCGACTTCACTGCCCTTTAGTGACTTTTTGTGCATGTCATCGACTAGTCGCTGTCACGTGGTAATGACCGACAAGATGCAGTTCTCGGAAAAGACAGCAGCCTGCTGTCAGCAGGTGACGAGCCCCTGCGCGTCGAGAGGCAACGCGCTGTACCAGAGCGTCGGTGCTGACGCCCGCGGTAAAACGGACTTTTGACCGAATTGTGACCTTTACCCTCTTGCAATTTAACCTTCCCGTCACCCCCATCCTAACCTTAACCAGCTTGTGCATGCAAAGCGCTGATCGTTGATGCGCTCCAGACATCTGCGTCCTGAGCACGGCCACAGTAACATTATCAAATCAGGTGTCGCCACCTCAAAAACTAATTTAACACGTGATCGTTCATGTCGGCTCATTTCCTTTTATATTTTCTGTCTTTTATTTGCGCCTGATGCGTTTCGCTGCTGTGGAGCGGGGCGCATCACCTGTTTTGTCCTCCGGTGACGCACCTCACCGGTGCGGCCGGCGCACACTGCGCTGTTTTTGCGGTCGGTATCTTTTAGAACTGCAGTTCAAAGGTAACTCATGAGGTGAATATATATGAACCCAGGTAGCAGTTTCTCTTTAGGATTGAGAGGAGATGCAGGAAGATAATAAACAGGCAGGACAGAAAAATAGTCAAATAAAAACAAGTTAGTTTTTGTACCTGCTGGTTGCAACAAACAGACACCATTGAAGGTAACCAGAAGTGAGGAACAGAAAATTAAATAATTATTTTAATGTTTAGAGCAGCAGAAACTCTTGAGAGGCTGCAGGCGCATCAGTGAGTTTGCGGCCGCTGCGCGCGGGGGGGGGGGCTGAAGCAGAAACTACCGTTGTTTGAAGAAATGTGTTTAACTTAGAAAATGTGGGCGCAATTTTAATTGTCAAACTCCAGCGACCCCCCCCCCCCCCCCCCCCCCGCGTCGAAACAAACGCTTGATCACCCATCGTCAGTTTTAGCCGCTTCAGGTATGTGATGTCATCAACGACTAGTCGAAGTCGACTTGATTTTCATTACTTGACGGTCGACTTAAAAAAAAATTGTCATGCAACCCCTAGCTCATAACTACAACAAAAGTACAAAAGTCATTGTTTCTACTGCATTAATGTTTTAATTATCCCTGTTTTATATTAGTTCTGTCAGTAAAACACACATTGTTATTTTTTAGGTGTGTGGCGTTGTGCAGTCTGGGTATCTGGCTGTGTGAGGAGCTCTCGCATGGGACTGAGCATCCACAGATTAAAGATGCTCTCAATGTCATCTGTGTTACGCTGAAGGTGAGTCCCCGCCTTTTTACAAAAATCCCTCGTTCTGTCCTGATTTTGTCGTTTTACCCAGTAAGACTCCAGTAATGGAATCAGCTGACTCTGTTGAGACTCTGAATGAGCACTAATCCTTCAATGAAGAAAGTTTAACTCGGAATCATAGTTGTTAAGTAAATCAGAATGGTATGAAAATATTTTCTTTTAATTATAATTGTTTCCGAAAAGTCTGTATTGGCTTGGATTATTGGGAAAAGAACTACTGAACTAAAGAAAATGTAGATATTTCAGGAGAAACTAAAATAGTCATTACATTAATGTGATCATTAGTTTTTGTCTCAAATTACATTCCAACAATTATTCCCTCAAATAAAGAATGTAGCAAAAAATAATATATATAGTTTTCTTGATGTGGAAGTTTAATAATAAGAAAATTTAAATATTACACATTGAAATAGTGAAAGATGAATAAATGCCATTTAAATCATAAATGACTAGTCTGCAGCTGAAGTTGGTGCAGAAAATGTGTTTAAATGAACAATAATGTTCATACAGTTCCTGATGGAATTAATTAGCATTTTTGTTACACAGTGAAGTGTAGTGAGGACAAAAGAGACATGCTGACTTGGTTGATGAACAAGGAAAACCAGTTTAATTACTTCTGGTCAAAAAAGAATCAGAAGATCCAGCTGTCTTCAAAATGGCCACCCATCCATCTCTCTTCCAGTCTCAGTCACTTTCAGAGAGAGATCCTTGCCACACCCGGCCAATCACCTCGGCCTTTCACAGAAGAAAAGAAAATGTTAACATTCATACCGCCTTCAGCTATTTTCGATAATTAGATAGTCTACACGTAAATCACATCACATTTACAAATAATTCATTCTATGCTTTTCTTTAAAAGTTCTCCACTCAGGCATTTTACTATAAAAAGGCAGCATTAGAGGCGGGCTTCCTCTTTAGCTGGTTCAAGATGGCTGCCTCCTGAGGGTAACAAACAAATTCATGTTTAACACAGATTGCATGAATACTCTTTAGTTAAATAAAACAGATTGCTTCTCAACAATTTTCATATTTTAAAAAATAATTATATTTAAAACGTATTTGATAAGGAAGCTCGTGCTGAGTTTATTCATTTGTGAAGTATTTAGTGCAATAGAGTAGAAACTTTATATTTAGTTATTAGGCTGTGGAAGTGGTTACCATGGTGACCTACAAGCACCTCAAGTCTGAAGGAAAATGATAGTTAATGTTGGGGAAATTGTCTCAGTGGCTCGTTTTAGGCAACTGGACTCAAAGGCCTGTGGATCAGAATAATACTGTCCAGCATTTACTATCTCATCCTGAGCCAAGTGACTCTAGACACACACACACACACACACACACACACACACACACACACACACACACACACACACACACACACACACACACACACACACACACACACACACACACACACACGTGCGCGCCTTTCCCACCTTGGAGTCCCTCGCTTATGTATCGGCAGCCAAAGGCCTGCAAAGACACCGCAGCAACACACACACTTGCATTCACTTGGGAGGAAATCCTGGACTGTAAATATGTTTGGTTCTTCTTCAAAAAGGAGACTAATCCAGGGGGAATGCTGCAAGCTGTCACACACACACACACACACACACACACACACACACACACACACACACACACACACACACACACACACACACACTCCAGCATGTATGCACTCGTGTCTTGTCCATTTTTTTTATCTCTGGTCTCCGTAGCAGCCAGAAACTTCAGCCATGTGAGACACACGCACGCACACACACACACACACACACACACAAACACACAAACACAAACACACACACACACACACACACACACACACACACACACACACACACACACACACACACACACACACACACACACACTTACACAAAGCTGGAGGAATTGCTGCTTCCTCGTTTTGGCCACTTTCTCTTCCATCATCATCATCATGGAGAATTTCTGGTTTTCAGGAGTGGATTCTCATTGAAGTCTAACTAATCTGTAAATCCTCTCCTCATTGACGACCCTTGAGTTTACACAAACTAAACAAACTGTTTAAAGCTCTATAGAAACAAAAGCAACGTTATTCAACATTTATTTTCATCTGTGCCATGTTGGCTCACATGTGACGTCGTTTTGTGTTTCTCGTCTCTTAGTACCCCAACAAGAACGTTGCGCTGGTGGCTTCAGACATCCTTCATTTGCTGATCAGCTATGCGGATCATCTTCAGAAATTCCCTCCAGAAATGCCAAAGAAGATTGTAGAGGTACAGAGTTGTGTTCACAGGTCATTTTGATAACGGAGGGTGGCTTGTGTTGTACCATCTGCAACTCCTGAAGACAAATGTAATCACAATTACCGCTAGGGTTGTCACGGTATGAAAGTGTAACCTCACGGTTATTGTGACCAAAATTATCACGGTTTTCGGTATTATCGCGGTATTTTTTTAAACGTGCTACATTTTGAGACAACTAAATAAACCCTGTATGTCAGGAAATATTGTCCTCAGTTTGTGTCTAAATTTTGCCTAAAATGTGTTATTTTGTAATTATGTTGTTTATTTGTTTACATTTTTCCCCTTTAGTCTTTAAAATACCAATATTTGCCCATAACTTCTTATTTTTGTCTGTTTGATGTCATCATTTTAAAAATATTAGATCAGATGATACTCGGTACTCAAGTAGCCTTCTAATCAGATACTTTTTTACCCTTACTTGAGTAATAAACCCTATATCAGGAAAATATCGTCCTCGGTTTGTGTCTAAATTTTGCCTAAAATGTGTTATTTTGTCATTTTGTTGTTTATTTGTTTACATATTTCCCCTTTAGTCTTTAAAATACTAATATTTGCCCATAACTTCTTATTTTTGTCTGTTTGATGTCATCATTTTAAAATATTAGATCAAATGATACTCAGTACTCAAGTAGCCTTCTAATCAGATACTTTTTTACCCTTACTTGAGTAATAAACCCTATATCAGGAAAATATCGTCCTCGGTTTGTGTCCTTCCAGTGAGCTTTGCAGATGTGGGAAAATATCATCAGTAATCGTTGTTAAATTCATAATTATTCTCGGAGAGAGACCAACTCTTATCTGCCCCTGGGAGCCCCGTAATGCATAGCGTCATTTCAACATGGGGGTGTCCGCGACACGGTTTATATGCAGGTAGCGGCGCTGCGGCTGCTTTATATAGCGACTCGTTGCATTCTCCCTCAACCCAAATCCTCGGATCACGCATTTTAGCTAAAACGCTAATGTTAGCTTGCCTTGCGTTGACTGTAGAGTTGTGGGTGATGGTCACGCAGATGTGTCATGAGATTTGAAGCGTTGCTGCCTTTCACAGACACTTTTTCTGCACGTGCTGCAAACAGGATAGCCGTCTTCTATCAGCTGTCCCTCGGCATTCTTCAAATATCCAAAAGATGCCCGTACTTCCCACTTTGTCTTCTTTGAGGGATAAAAAATGTCCTCCTGAGCACTGCCGTCTCCTCCTTTGGCCATTATTTCAGCTTTAGCTTCAAGAAAGTTTTGGTTGTAAACAACAAAGTGCGCATGTGCCGCCGGCAACTTCAGCAGATGATACGGTGGCTGGTAAGGGTCACCGCGCCTACACCACAGCCACGCTAATCCCACCGAGATAATTTTTTTTTTAAAACAAGACGGTTATTATTATTGTCAACCATTTTTTAGGTTTACCGCTACACCGGTTACCGTGGCAACCCTAATTACTGTGTATGTTCATTCATTTGGCTTTGTTGGATTTAGTAGAATCAATATGCATTCTGGTTGTAAATGTGCCTAAATTGTACTAATTTGATGTAAAATGAAATCTAGAGTCATTGATAAGGAATCGTACAGATTCTGAAGACTAGTCTGCTGCTTTGAAACTCGTGTTTTTTGGGTTGGTTGACAGGAAAAACGGTCCCAACAAGAAAGCGTTTGGCTGAAACAGAAACTACGTGAAACTCTAATGAAATCTAAACACGGTGGTGGGATTGACTAATCCGCTCATATTTACTTTATTTCCTTTGCTGCTGTTATTCTGTTTAAGTCGCCCTTCGTGTTTTTACTTTTGGCTGTTTTTCCATCTCCTATTTAATCATTTTGATGTATCGTCTTCAGATTTTGATCGCTACCATCACATACTTGCTGCCCACGACAGAGTCCTCTCCTCATGAACTGGATAAGAGGGTAAAAAATGCCTTTCATTTCTTATTTTACTAGGTGTGAATTGTGCATTGAGTAAGTAAGACGTGCTTTATCTGTTCGTTTCAGCTCGTGGTGTCCCTCCTGTTGTGTTTGTTGGACTGGGTGATGGCTCTGCCTCCTAAGACTCTTCTCCAGCCCATACAAACACGAAGCCCTCCAGAGAGAGAGCAGCCCACCAAAACCCTGCTCAGCTGCATATACAAGGTAAACGGGTCATCAGAACATGGCCAGTAAACGCAGAACCAGCTGGGTTCTTTAATCGGGTCCAGTGCAGGAAGATGCTTCATAAACAGCTCTGTTCTGTGGTGTATTTAGGTACTCCATGGTTGTGTGTATGGAGCACAGTCCTTCAGCAGTGCCAAGTATTTCCCCATGCAGCTGTCGGACCTGTCCAGTCCGGACTACGACCCCTTCCTGCCTTTGGAGAGTCTCCGAGAACCAGAACCTCTGCACAGTCCGGACTCAGAGCGCTCCAACAAGCTGCAGCCTGTGACTGAAGGTGATCTATCCGTACACATGCACACACACAGTTCAGCCACGTCTACAAAATCTTTGTACTAGAAGGTGTGTGTGTCTTTCTGGATCCTTGTGAGTCTTTATGGCCCCCCACCGAGGTCCAAAAGAACTCACAGAGCCGTCTAATGACTCAGTCAGCCTGACAGACCATGCTCCTCTCCTCTCTTCTCCTCTTTTCTCTTTTCCTCCCCTCCCCTCCCCTGACTACTATAATCCTCATTTAACTTTGTATTTTCTTTGATTCTCCTCCTCCTCCTGAGCGCTCCTGGTGTTTAGGGAGTCACTGAGAATGTCTGGTCAATACATATCTGCACTCGGCACCTGGCCTGTCGATAAGGAGTTGTTCGGAAGTGTGTGTGTTTCGCTGTGTGTGTGTAATGTTGTTGATTAACCAGGATCGTCTGGCAGCACAATATGTGATGGCATTGGTTTCTTCTCAGCAGGATGTTCAAACCCTAAATGTTTTTCTGCTTCTTTCTTCTAACTTGGAGCCTTTTTTAAACCTCTCAGCCCAACGTTTCAGTTTGATTTTGGTCTTCCTCAAAGGAAATGATTAATATGTATGAAAAGTCTTTTTAAGTTGAAAAGATAACTTTGAAAAATCACTGAATATTAAAGTTCATTATTGTTTTCTTATCCCGCCTTTCTCATTCTGGAATATTATTCATTTTAATTTCATTTTGATTTCTTTTTCCCTTTTTTTTTTAATGCAGTTCGCAGCCGCATTCAGCAGGGCCTGGTTTCCATAGCAGCTAGAACGGTTATTACCCACCTGGTCAATCATCTGGGACACTATCCCATGTCTGGAGGTCCTGCGACACTGTCCAGCCAGGTGCGATACCTGGTGGTAGAAATAACAACTCTAAAACACTGACTTCCTGTTTGATTTTCACACTAAAAGATTTTTTTATGCTTTGTTTTGTTTTTATTTTGCTGACTTGGCACTCGTTTTTGCAGGTTTGTGAAAACCAAGACAACCCGTTCTGTGAGAGCGCCGACCTCGGTCCAGAACTTTTTAATTCACCCAACCTGCAATTTCTGGTTCTGAACGGGACCACGCTGCTATCAGTTCTTCAGGTAAATTCAAACCGAACCGGGTTTTCTCCATAAACTCTTTAATTCTTTGGTGAACCGAGTTCCTGCTTTTCCTGTTTTCCAGATTCGATCCGAATCCGGTGTACCAGGGGGTGGAATGGCAGCGGGTTTGTCCTCCGCTCCTGCTTGTGTTCGTGTCATCATCCGAGACGTTGCCGGGAAGCACTCCTGGGACTCTGCCGTCCTCTACGGGCCTCCGCCATGCTCCCCTAACAGTCCAGCACACACACTGTTACCTCAGACAGAGTCTCCGCACGGCACAAATCTTCATTTACACACCCCACCGGGAGGTCCGCTGAAAAGGATGGAACTGAAGGAGGAAGATGGCGAAGGAGATGGGGGGGAGGAGAGGGGGATGGAGGGTGACGGAAAAGACTCTCAGCTAGTAGGGGAGGTGCAAGGAGAGGAAAGGAACCTTAATGATGAAGAGAAGGAAGAGCAAGGAGATGATGGGGAAGAAGAGAGGGGCCAGGAGGAGGAGAGCATTGACCATCAACTAGATGGGGAGTCGGGCTCGGAGCAGCTGCTAGCTCCTCCGCTGGCTAAGCGTGTGTGTCGGGAGGCGGTGCCAGCATGGGATTCGCTCAGAGAGGGAGATGATACTCTGGATGAGATGCTGCAGTACCTGGGATACTCCAGTCCCGAGTGCCTGCAGAGAGCAGGTACGTGTTTTCATAACGATTATTCACTCAACCCACGAGTTAAAGTTTACCCAGGAATTAAAGATTTATCCGGTCAGATCCAACAACATGTAAAAACAGGACACTTTACTGTCCTGAAGTTCTAAAACCACGTGAGCAAAAAGCTGAAAAACTCATTCTGACTCCTCATTGGTCCTCGTAGGAATGCCTCTCAACATCCCGGCTCCTCCTCCCGTCTGCGTCTCAGAGAAGCAGGAGAACGACGTGATCAACGCCATCCTGAAGCAAAGCGCTGCCGAGCGAGAGTTCGTCCTTCATGTGGGTTTTCCCACACACACTGATAAATTTCCCTCTGGGATTAATAACGTATCTTTGAAATAAAAGGCTGAGCATTAACGTTAGCTAGCCTTATAGAAACACGTTGGTGCCAGTAGGGGTTAATACAGTAAAAAAGAGGTTTTTCTTTTAACATAAACTGACATTTGCAGCATTTTTTTGACCTTTTTAATCTGATTCAAACATATTTTATTCCACTACAGTTAAATGTTTAAAGGATCTGGGTCCTGGCTTTATTCTGTCTGTGTTTGTTGGTGCATTAAACTGAAGTTAACTAATGTTTCAGAGAGGTGAGGAGTTGAACATGAGGGCGGTGCAGCAGACCGAACCAGAGACTGAAACGCCACAGTCGGCTTTCTACTATTGCAGGCTGCTGATCAACATCCTGGGACTCAACTCCTGGGAGAAAAGGTGACTTACAGCTAATTTAGGCAGTGCTAAGCATTTATTTTATTTAAATATTCTCTATTTGGGTTGTTTTGTGTGTTTTTGCTCGTATTTGTGCCATAGGATGCTTCGCAATACTCTTCTGTGAAACTTATTTGAATCCACATTGTGAGTTTGGTCCTCCACTGCAGTTTTACATTTGTTCATCTCTCACTTGTATGGCAAAACGAGAAGCTTTTTTGACCCGAGTTTGTATAAAATGTCTGTATTTTTGTTTTTTGAGACTCGTGGGGGATGTCTTCCGTCTTCTCTGGAACAAACCAAATGTTTGCTTAATGCAAATAGAAAAACAAGCATATTTAGCTCATTAGACTCAACGTTTTTTCCCCTTTCACGTCGTGCAGCATTTCATCTTCTGAATGACTCCGGGCTGAAACACACAATGTCGAGGTATCGCTTCAAATGTGCCTGGCCAGCTAATGGACACTCATCTCTCTTTACTTTATCCAGAGAATTACACTTTCTGCATTCAGCCCACACAATAGACTTCTTAACACACCGTGTGTGTGTGTGTGTGTGTGTGTGCGTGTGTGTGTGTGTGATAATGAGTTTAGAGCTCTATTGATCAAACTCAACCCATTTGGAGTTTGAATAAAAAGCTAGAGTTGAGGAAGAGGATGATTGAGAAGACGGCAGCAAATTGGAAAACAAGATGAATCAGACACATGTAGATGTGGAGTCAGAATAATGATCAAAATAATATAAAAAAATGAAGGGAAAGGTGGAGGAAAATGGAAATGAAAGCTCCAGAAAGTTGGGTGTAAGAGAACAGGTAGACTGGAATGAAAGAAGAGATTGCCTAATCATCTGTTATTGTCCCCTTATGTCTCTCCAGGTATTCATATGGGACATTACAGGCACTAAGATACTGACAGTCAGCCATGTGTGTGCATGCGAATCCCTCTTTTATGCTTTTCCCCATAATCCAGGGTGTAAATGGAGTCTTTGAGAGCAGAGAATGAGGCCATTACCAAGTATGAGTTTAATAAAGAGCAAATTGCTCTCTCTCCCTCTTTATCTCTGGCGCTCTCTTCCCTTTTCCCTTTTCTCTAAGAGTGAAAAGAACGATGCGTCATTATCAGTTCGCTCTGAGCTGCGCTGCTCGAGTTTTGGTTTTACATCAGCAACACGGAGGGCGATGGACGCTCGTTGGCACATTTTCAACGACCTCTGGACAAGTTTTTCTGCATGAAAAGCTTTTGTTTTCATTAACAAACACGCGTCCCCTCGCTTTTCTGCAAAAACACAACCTGCGGACGGTACGATCAGACAGACCTGTTGCTGCTTTCAGTCATGCTTCAAGTATTTTTTTCTAACGTATTAATCAAATACTGCTGTTATAGATTAAATAGTCCAGAAACTGATTTTTTTTATATTCACCACAATATTAAATATAAAAAGTATTTTTTATTAGCTTATAGTTTTGCAGGAAGTGACCAAAATGTGGAAAATTATCAACACACACATACACATATATAATTAGACTCACATATATAATTATATATATATATATATATATATATATATATATATATATATATGTATATATATATAATTATTTATATATATATATATATATATGTGTGTGTGTGTGTGTGTGTGTGTGTGTGTGTATATATATATATATATATATATATATATACACACACACACACATATATATATATATATATATGTGTAAATATATATATATATATATATATATACTGCAAAACTTGCAGAACAACAGTGGAAAAATGAAAAAGTAGGTTGAAATACAAGGAAAAAAATTAATTTAAATGTAAGAAAATTGAGCAAAATAATATTTGTTTTCTGAGGATGAATGAGCCTAAATATAATAAGAAATAAAATGTTTATTCTTTTTTTATTTTATTTTTTTATGGATGATTTCAATAAATGCGGACAACCTTTCTTTAAACGAGACGAGTTTACAGAAATTGTGGCTCCAGGATTGCCTCTCGTCCAGCTGAAACCTTCCAAATGTTTAATAAAATGCAAATAAAGAAAGATATTTTAAATTAATCTGCTTTACAGGAGCAACTTTCACTTGTTAAGGAAGAACGAGAAGCTGCTGCGAGAGCTGAAGAACCTGGACTCGCGGCAGTGGTGAGCCACACTCGTGGTTCTGTTTCAGCACAGCATGTCTCGGCGGCTCCACCTGGGTCATTTATTATATTTCATCTTTGTCTTCCAGCCGCGAGACTCATAAAATAGCAGTATTTTACGTGGCTGAAGGTCAAGAGGATAAACACTCCATATTAACAAACACTGCAGGCAGCCAGGCGTACGAAGACTTTGTCTCAGGTCTCGGCTGGGAGGTAAAAAAAAACAAATCAACTTGCATATTTTATACTTTATCAGTTTTTTTATTCAAGTGAAAAAAGTTAATTCTGGACTTTGTTGGGACTTGAATCGTTTATAAAAGATGCCTTATGTGTGTTCTAGGTGGACCTGACCACGCACTGTGGCTTCATGGGAGGCCTTCAGAGAAATCGCAGCACCGGCCAGACCACACCTTACTTTGCCACCTCCACCACCGAAGTCATCTACCACGTCTCCACGCGCATGCCTCACGACCAGGACCAAAACCTGACGAAGAAGGTAACACACAAAGGACCTCTTACTGAACAAAACCACAATGGGTTCTTCTTCTTGGCTTTGTTTTTTTGTCTAAACTAGTAGAAAATTGTCTAATTTCATGTTTACAGATGAAAAGTTCACATAAACATTTTTCATAATAAAAAACAGACCGACTCCTGCATTAAGTCTTTGTGATAACTACCGTACTTTCCGGAGTATAAGTCGCTCCAGAGTGTAAGTCGCACCAGCCATAAAATGTATAATGAAGAAGAGAAAGATCATATAAGTCGCATTTTGGGGGGAAATTTTATTATTTTTCTTACGAAATCTGAGACCATTTCACATTGCAAGACAAGTACCGGTAACAGTAACAGAATAAACAATCAGGGCGCAGCAGCGCACCACATTCTCCAACAGAGGATGGTGGTGTTTCACACCCTCCCAGCGGGCGGGGAGAGCCCCGCCACAGGCTGCAGCAGGTGATGGCGGCGTTTGAAACTCTCCCAGCGGGGCGTTGGAGCTCATTCCTGGTCCGGAGCCGGCCCGCAGCAGCTTGGTATACATAATTTGGTATATAAGTCGCAGGACCAGCCAGACTATGAAAAAAAGTGACTTATAGTCCAGAAAATACGGTAATAATAAACACTATTCATTTTTATAACATCCTTTATTCAAGATTTTCTCATTAAAACAACAGAAAACCGTTGCTGAAATGCTCTAAATCACTCCTATGGCCACAAATGGCCTGCGAGCCACAGTTTGGATGCCCCCGGTCAGTTTGAATGAAGGAACATTAATGTGTCATTATAATTGTTTCATCCTTACCGTGTCTTTGATTCGCTCATTCATGTTTCTCCTGGTGCTTCTCCACTCCTAGAGGAAATCGTGTGGGTGGGTGTGCGCGCGTGTGTGTGTGTGTGTGCGTGTGTGCTGGGAGGTTTGAGTGTCTAGACCGGCAGGTTTTATTGTATGTGTCTATATTCAGGTTTGTGTGTAATCACACCTGTCAGCCCCCAGGCACTGGGTGCTCTGCACATGGCCATAATGTCCTTTTAATCAGATCATACTTCCTGCTTCTCGGCCTATCACATGGCTTCGGGCTCCTGATTGGATTACCAGCGTCTGGCCCGACACCATCCGTCTCGCTGATCAGCTGATGGCCCCATCAAACATGCATAGTCACATACACACGTGGAGACTTTAAACCTGTTTAACAGACATTCACGAAAGATTTTATTAACATCAGTCTGCGCAAATAACCTCACAAATATAAATTTGTGTTAATGCTGGAGGAAAAATGACCCACACAGGCTCTGAAACGCACACAGGGGCAGTTTGACAGATGTAAGGTTATAGTGGCGCACAAGCACACGCACATTCTGGCAGACATTTATCTTGTGTCCTCCAGCAACGCTCAAAAACAAACACAATCAGTTCAGTCCTTGTTCAGGTTTCCTTCCATGCACTTTGGTGTTGTCAAAACACTTCGGTTCAAAGCACGGTTAAAAGGATCAGCGCTGCGTCAAAGGTGAGATTTGGTCATTTCCAGTGAGGAAATCTTTTCCACAAACTGATAGGATGTTAAAAGACAGTAAAACGTGTCACACTAAGATAAATAATTCAAGAACAAAAGAACTGAGAACATCCAAAGCCCTGTGGGTCTCATCTGGATCAAGTTGAGGTCAGAGGTCAAGGTTCCTCAAAGATGCGTTTCGCATTTACCAAAAAAACATCCAGATGATCCCAGAGACTTCTGGGTAAATATTCTGTGGACTGATGAGACAAAAGCAGAAGCTTCTAGAAGGATGAGCATCCTGATCCATCTGGAGTCAGACAAACACTAAAACAACAGTCAAACGTGGTGGTGGTGGTAGTGTGATGGTTTGGGGGCTGCTCTGCTGCTTCAAGACCTGGAACAGCCTGCTGTAACTGATCAAACCATGAACGCTGCTCTCTAAAAGGACATACTGAAGGAGAACATCTGACCTTTGACCTTAAACAGGACATTCCTGCTGGAAAACCTTGTAAAGAATAGTGGGCTGAAACTCCCCCACATTGATGAGACTCGTTACCAGAAAAGTTAAAGAGGGACATCAGAAAATGTAGCTCCATCCCTCGTCAAGATTTGAAAAATGCAATGAAAGTGGGCGTTGCCAGGAGGGCACAGAGTGGCATGGCCAAGTGTGGGGAATTTCCATCCTGGGAGAGAGGGGGAGTGGGAGGAGACTGTACCGATAACGTGAAATTGTTCTGTCCCAGTCAATCACAAGTTTAAAATGCAGTAGCCGCTGTTCTGCCACAGGGGGCAGCACTAAGACATTTTTAGATCTAGATTCTAGATTTAATCAAGTTTACACAAACATGTCAAAACATGCACAGGAACCAAAAGATTGCATTTGTAAAGACCCAATTAGACAGTTAATAAGCAAAAAAAAGTTATTTTGGGGTTTAGTTACTCCCGACTCGTTAGTTGTCTGGTGTGTGAAAAATTCTCTCCACGTTTGATCAATCCCCTGGGGGAGCGGCAAGCTGCAGACATGGCTGCGCTCGGGAACCATTTGGTGGTTTAAGCCTCCGGTCGAACCTCTTAATGCCAAGTGTCAAGCGGGGAGGCATTGGGTCCCAAGTCTTTGGGATGACCCGACCGTAGATTGGAACAAGCCAACACTAGATCACTGAGCTGTTGATCAAAACACTTTTACAGGAAAACATGGCTGCTTGGAAGATAAATAAAAAAATAAATAAATCTGGGATGGCTTAAAGTCTCTTTCCGGAGTATTTCCCTTATCTGATGGCACCATCTAGTGGCTGACAAGCACATCACACAAATAGTTTCTCCTGGTTTTTAAGATGGCGACTTCACTTTTCTTGTTTATAAATGTGCTTCTGTAGCGACAAACAGCTAAAACACGTTGTTTTACGAGTATTATTCTCATGTCTTGTTGTGTTCTCATATATTTATATTTTAGAGACTTACTTGTCCGTGAAAAGTTCATCAACTCTTCATCAGCTGAGGTATTGTGGGCACAGTGGCACAGGAGTTAAGCGCTCGCCCCATAATCGGAAGGTTGCAGGTTCAAGCCCCGCTCAGTTTGTCACTGTCGTTGTGTCCTTGGGCAAGACACTTAACCCCCCTTGCCTGCTGGTGGTGGTCGGAGGGACCGGTGGTGCCTGAGTACGGCAACCTCGCCTCTGTCAGTGCGCCCCAGGGCAGCTGTAGCTACATCAAAGCTCATCCCCACCAGCGTGTGAATGTGTATGAATGGGTGAATTGTGATTGTGTTGTAAAGATCGACATATAAATATTGGACAATTCATTTCCATAGGCTCCAATAACACATTTTTGAAGATAAATGGGAGGTGGCCACCACCGCCATTTTGACCGTGTCACAGGTTCCGTCAAGCCCAGACAATTCCACAAAAGGGAAGAGAGGTGGAGCTGAGGGTGGGGCTGTAAGGCTGGGATCAACTGACGACACCCGGTCGAACTAGCTACAAGCTAACCTGAAGCTAACCCAAAGCTAACGCGGAGGTGGGAGCTAAGCTAACGGAGGTAGCAACCTAGCTACAACCAGAGTTAACTGTGCACAACACCAGAGCTTCTGAGTCAGAGATACGCCGGGCTGACCGCTGGGTAAAACCGGGTGGAACACAGAGGTCTCCGAGACCTCCACAAGCCGGCAGCCGTGCAGCAGACAAATGCCGCTGCAATCTGAGATGCGCAGAGCTGCCGCTGGGGACAACCGGGTGGAAAGGTTTCCAACCCAGATCTCCACAAGCCGTCAGCCCGCGCAGCAGACAGAAGCCGCGATCAGACAGAGATGCGCCGAGCTGCGTGGAGGGGAGAACGGGTGGAAAACATCGGTCTCCCGAGAGCTCCACAAGCCGATAGTCGGAACCCAGCTCCACCAACATGTTATATTTCAACCCATTTTCTAAAGTGCAGCATTATGTTAAATGCACTGGGTTTACCCTTTTACATTTAAATTTCATGCTTAAGCAGTACATGTTAAAATCTAAGCTCAGCTCGGCAGTGACCTAAAATACATAAATATAATTTTACTTACCGAAAAAAATGAAGTGGAGACTCCTTGGATGCTCTATTAGTGCAATTAATGCCACAGCAAGTCATTTTGTCCAACAATTGCACAAATAATATCCAAACAAGAAAACACAAACACAGAGACTCAAAATCCCGAAGCAGTTTCCAAGCCAGACCGAGGCTCTACTGAGGCCTTTCCACGGAGCTAGCTCTGTGGTCACGTGGGTCTGATGCTCATAAATTATACAGAATTTTAGGCTTTTAATACACTTAAACAGAAGAGTGAGAAAAAAATTCACCCCCCTCAGAGTTGTCATGAGTGTAAACTAGATCATTTAAACCTAAAACATGTTTTGGTACCAGGCTGTAAACATGTTTATTTCTGCTGTGAAATTGGTATTTTTAACATGGGAGTCAATGAGGATTTGCTCGTTTCTGACACCAGCCCCTAGTGGATGAGGGTGGAACTGCAATTTATTTCATTTCCGGGTTTGCTTCAATTTTTCACCCGCGTTGTGGGGGCTTGGTTGTAAAGCACCTTGGGGGGTTCCAGGACTCTAGAAGACGCTTTATCAAATACAGGCCATTAACCATTTATTCCTTAAATTTGAAGCATGTAGTCTAACGCTATTGGTTAGTTCCAGTCGGCACTCAGTTTTCTATTGCACGGAGCTCTACAGGGCAGGGGGGCGTGCTTAGCAAAAAAAAGACGTATTGCTTACATTATATCACAGTACATGATAACATAATCACTTTTACATCATTTCTGAAAGGGGAAAACTCTGGAAAGGTACTTTAAAGTGATTTTATGGAAATTTGTGATTTTTTATAAAGGAAACATCTTAATGTTCCTCAGAGGACCAAAAACAAGACTGGCGTTAATCTGCAGGTGTGTGTGTGTGTGTGTGTGTGTGTGTGTGTTGGCAGACCTCAAGGTTAATGACTGAGCTGTCACCAGCTTTGACTGGAACCTGCTGAGTGTATTGTGAACCCTACACACACACACACACACACACACACACACACACACACACACACACACACACACACACACACACACACACACACACACACACACACACACACACACACACACACACACACACACCATTACACAGTATCATTCATGATCCCATCCATCTCCCAGCCTGTGCTCCATCTTTTCAGGGCTTCACTCTGTCTTGTCGTTGCTTCTCCATCTTCTCACACTCACTCCATCACACTCAGGGCCACACACACACACACCAAATCAAAAAGCCTTGAGCTATGATGGATTCAACCTACCCAGCTCTTTGTTTCTGGCCTGTTTTGTTTATGAAACAAATAAAACCTGATATTGAATGTATTTTTCTGTTTCATTCTTTTATTAATTCTCCATCTCTCTGCTGCTTCCTCCCATTTGTCTTCCCCATCACACGTTCCAGCTCAGACACCTGGGGAACGACGAAGTCCACATCATTTGGTCAGAACATTCCAGAGACTACCGGCGAGGGATTATCCCCACTGAATTTGGAGACGTGTTGATCATCATCTACCCCATGAAGAACCACATGTATTCCATCCAAATACTCAAAAAGCCAGAGGTAAAAACATCTGAGCAATCAAACCACCATTTACCAATATTCTGTCAAATGATTCATGTCAGTGTTTCCTCTGGATCATGCTGACACAGCAGGTTATTTGAATCCGGGATAATAATTAATCTCCCACGGCTCTAATCAGTCAAAAGTAGACACGGCACCTTTAGTTGAGTGTTATTGTTGTGTAATGGTTCTGTGGAAGTTAGTACTGGAGCATTTAACCAGTACCAGGACATTCTGGACCTCAAATTCCTCAAATACCTTTAGCCAGTATAGCCTAGAAATCTTGAGAAGCTGTTGCAGTATCCAAAGATTTAGCTCTGCAGGTTGGTGTAGCCACGCCCCATTGTAGTGTCTGCAGGTCTACCATGTTTGTTCCAGCCAATCCCAGCACTCCGTGTTGTAGAGGGACGCTGGATGGTCTTAGCACCAGAGCTGGGACACAAAAAAGACTACAAAGATGGCATCGGCTCAGGAATGTCGCTCGTTTGAAATGTCTTCGGCAATGTTAAACAACTTTAGACGATTTAGACTTGGGCTTTTCTTGAGACATGAGCAGATTTAGCTACATGGTCGTCTTTGATGGAGTATTTTGGACTGCCACGTTGACTGATTTCTGTAGCGATAAATACATCATGTTGTTCGTTGCTCTGATTGGTCCTAGCGATGTCCAGTTGCATGCAGAGATCGTTAAAGACTACCGTAGATTCAGACCCTCGACCGATCTCTGTTTATTGGTCGTGACCAGACTGTATATTTACATTTATAGGATGGCTTGCCAGGCTTGTCTAGTATCTCACTTGGTTGGGACTGCTGGCCTCAAACTGAGAATGGCTCGTAATGTTCTTGAGGAATCACCACTAAACCAAAATGCACCAATCATTGAGCTCTATGGGATTTGGTCTTGGTTACTCCTCATTTCATTTCCACTACAGCTCATAAATGATGAAAAGATCCAAGTTAAACAGTAGAAATGTGTGAAAAATTTAATCAAATTCCACATCAGACATTGATTCATGTCGTCTGACATGTTGAGCTGCAGCGGTCCAGATCAGATCGTCACCTTTCTTCTTCCAGCTCTGAGACGTGTGCAGATCTGGTTTATAATTAAATAAACCGAGAGCTCAACCGTCAGGAGGAGCAGTTCTGATTGATAAATAAATAATTTGGTTTCATTATCAAGAAGATCTTTTGTTGAATGGATTGTTAGTTTATTAGAAGTGTTTTCCATATGTGAGTTTGTGTTTCCTACCAGACGACAGAGAAATGCATCCATATTTACCAACAATCCTGGAGAGCGTCTTGCCTGGAGTCGTCTCGATCTGGTTAATGTATCCGTCTAAAACACACAGACATTAATACCACAGCACTGATGGCATAACTCTATTTCAAACAAGACCTAACACAATAAAAAGCTGCTTTTTTTTCTCTGTGACATAGATACCACAGCACTAATGAGCTAATCATATTCTCTTTCATTCATTCTGCAAGGAAAAATATTGAATTATCATGAATCTAAGAACAAGTTAGATAAGATGTGGCTTCTGTTGTTGCCCTGAAAGCTCATGTATTCAGCCGTAGAGGGCATGGCTGCGAGACCTGGTCTGCTAGCAAACCCAATAAAAGCTGGACATTATTGTCTTTGGTGGATTCCACAAGCAAAGTATTGAATTAAGTCACAAAGCCATTGGCTGAATCAAATACTGTATCATTAAAAAAATCTGTCGTATCAGTCATTATTTGACTGGTAGCTTCCAGAAAGTATTCTGTTTCATGAAATTCTGTCTTTGTAATATTTCAGTTCTTTTTTCTTTCCGTCTTTATTCTGATTTATTTGTTTTTGTAGGTGCTGTTCTTCGGTCCGTTGTTTGATGGCGCCGTCGTGGACATGAAGATCCTGCCCACGATGGTCCGAGCCACAGCCATCAATGCGAGTCGAGCTCTCAAATCCCTCATTCCTCTCTATCAAAACTTGTATCCTTTTGAAATCATCAGTAATCAGAAAATCAGAGATCAGGACCCAAGTTCACAGGTAGGCTAATCTGTTCTTTCATGCAGCTTTTGGGATTAAAATGAACAACTTTTGCATCATTTGCTCAATATTGACAGAAAGTTTTGGGGGCGGTAATATGAGTGGCGTTTGTGTTAAAGTGGGCTGCGGATGGGCAGGTAATAAAAAACTGTCCATGCAACTGCAATTATTAGGCTTACAATAAAAAGTAGGGATGCACGATATACCTGCATCAATATCGGTACATGCCGATCTTAGTCGTTTTTAAACATATCGGTATCGGTCCGATAAGTAAAACTGGGCCAATATTAAAAATTTTTCCATCTTGTTTACATTTGTTTATCTGTTTAAGAGAGTAATGGGGTGCGATGTGTATTTGTTTCGTCATGTGACAGTGATTGTAATCATCAGTAACGTAAATGTGTGTGGTGTGTGTACATAATAACATGAATTCAGTGTTAATAATTTTCATTCTATACTAAATCTGCTGATTTCAGAAGACTTAATGTCAGTATATTGGTATTGGCATGTATCAGTTAACAGTGGTATTAAAATAGGATATTGGAGTCTGCCAAAAAATGTCTTATCAGTGCATGGGTGTTTCTCAATGTCAAGGCGCCTTGCTTGCAAGGACGCTGTCCTTCCTTGGTCAAAGAAAACGGTTAAATGGAACAGACTTGTATCACGTGACCGCGGCTTCCACGGCGGTCATGTGACACGGGAGATAACGTTATATTTTATACGTATTAGTTTCAATATAAATATGTAACAAGACTTTTACTTTTTAAATTGTGTAGATGTTTATTAAATAAAAAATATAAGTGAGTTACTACCTGTTAGCCACCGAAGCTGCAACTACTAACCAACCATAGATAACTTCTTTGGATCTAAAAAAACATTTTAAATTAGCTGACTTACTTTTAAACTTGCAAATTGTTCCCGAAGTAGCTGCCGGCTTCTGATCTGCCATCTTTTTGAAAATACCGCAGTGCATTCTGGGTAATTTTTGACCAAGGCTAGGCTACAAGACACCTCCCATGTGTCCTTGCTCAGCTAGCTAAACGGCTAACCAACGGAGAACACACGCCTCGGTAGAACATGAACATTGGAACTGAGTGGAACACGTCTTGGCGGCTCTCGATGATGTATCGTCTAGGCAACCGGGGCGGGGCCAAGACATCAAGGTTAGGTTTCTTGGCATTGAGAAACACTGCCCCTCTAATAAAAAGAACATTTAATTTAGAGTAAACATTGACATGTTTTAACTTAATCAATCTTTAATAATTAACTTTATTGTTGGGATTACCTTTATTTTTGGATATATTTATGCTTTTAAATGATTGATTAGACTCAGTATTTTGTGTAGTTTAGCCTGTTTGATGAGGGGGGAGAGTTTCAAGACTGTGTTTGTGTTTTAAAGCTAGCTTGTTTTGCAGATTTGCCTTTGCAGCTTTAACCCTTTAGAACCCAAACCCTTTTAAATTAGAAAACAGATTAGAATAAATACATCAAAATGTAGACATTTTTAAATAAAATAAAGAAGTAGAATAATTTTCAATATATGTATGGCTAGAATGTTACTTGGGATTTTCAAACTTTAATATTTAACTCAAGAAGCAATTTTGCAGATGTTTGAAATGGGTTGTGACACCAGTGTCACCACAGGTCTTTAAGGGTTAAGTGTTTGATTTTACCACTGAGCACAAAATTAAGATTCAACAGATGGTTAAATTTAGTGTTTAAAAAGTGTTCATGTTCAGAAATGTTGTGCATCAGCTGTTGTTATTGGTGACATTTTAGCATGTAAATGATGTGGAAAACTTCTAGATATCAGAGGCACACTTCCACCATCGACAATAGGAAAACCCATCAGTCCATATCAGTCATTCATACTTTGCATGCTTCTTCTAACATTCTTATTTTAAGTAATTTTATATTAAAATGAGCACAAAGTTTACAACCAACAACAAAAACCATGAAATTGATGCAGACTTCTCATTTGAGACTGCCTGGTTTTTAAGAATCTTCAACAATTATTACAGCAAAATGTATATTTTTTTCCATGCATAAATTTTTTTTCCCTCATACTTAAAGGTGCATTATGTAAAAATGAATTAAAAATGGTGTCCTGTGGTAAAATGTGGTTACTGCAACCAATTTAATCAACCCTGGAGCACTTTTGCCGGCCGTCGTCAAATTACAATTGTGGGCGCTGCAGTACACACACACACACACACACACGCTGGTGGTAAACAGTAGTTACGTCCCTCCTTTCTTTGTTTAGAAAGGAGAAAAACTGACACCCCAGCAGCCAGTTGGATACAGGGTATCCGCGGGTCCTTAAAAAGTCTTAAATTTTCTTTTCCAAATTTAAGGCCTTAAAAATGACAAATAATCCTTAAATCCATTTTCCAGAGGTCTTAAATTACCAAAGACCCAATAAACAAGATTCTTTTATTTCTATAAAAAATTTGGGAATTTCTAGTTAGTGTTCAGCATTTTTGGTGTACGATGTTGGCGTAAGCGGAACCGTACACATTCAGCTGTTGTGAAAGGGGGCTATTTTTAGATGAGCACATTAGCTGGTTAAGCTAGTGGAAGCTTGCGCCATGGGGAAGTTTAATGTTAACTGAATGGTTAATCCCACGTTCGCGACGTGGTTAGCACCGGTTCCAGGCAATAGCTGGAAATTATAGCTTAAATTAAATTTTTAAAAATAGCTTAAATTTGGTCAAAGTGGCCTTAAAAAATGTCTTAAGTTTGGCTCCCATAAACCTGCAGATACCCTGTGGATATGAAACATGTTTCAGTATAACCTTCCTTCCAAAATGACTGAAACATTAGACACTTTTGGGATTTTCTCACTATAAAATTCTCACTATATTCTTACATACTGCATCTTTAAAGATGGCTTTTAGTTCAAGATTTAGATTTTAGTTTACCCTTCTCATGTAAAGTTTGTGAATCGCTTGAAATGCTAAGAGAAATAATAGAAAATATTTTGTTTATCATTGTTTAGAATGAAGAAGAATTTTCTTCTTGACTTTTCCTGTTATTAAATACTTAACGTTGAAATTCTGCTTCCATTTTTGCTAAATTAACTGATTGCTCTCGCTTTTTCTAACCGCTCATTTGACATATATTCGGTATGTTTTGCTTTCTGTCTCTACGTTTGAGGTTAAACTTGTGCTGAGGTGGGTTTGTTGGTGATTGTTCAGCTTGAGGATTAAGAATCATAAATCGGCATCCAGTGGTGCTTGTCTGTCTAAGTGGTTTCATGATGGAGCTGTATTTAGTCTGAAGTGCTAAAGATCAAGTGTGCATTTTCTCCATGCACGTTTGAGGTCTGAGATCGGGGACGGTTTGTGTGTGTTGGTGCGTGCATTGAAGTGTGAAGGGAGAAAAGTGTGTATGCAGTTTGTCTGCTTGATCCAGTGTGATGGTAGTTTGGTTTAAAGAAGCTAAAAGTCGATACTTATTGATGGATCTTCTCTATAGCTCTGTTTCTAAATGAGAGGCTTTGCTCTGTAGTCTCACAGACAGACGTAGACTCTCGCGCACTGATTGTTACTCACAGTGCACAACTGCCTCACATGCCCAGTAGTGCAAATACATTTACAAAAGGTGATGCACATAAAAGGTTTAAACCTCAGCTGTGAGGTAGCTGATCCTTTTTAAGGCAAGTGGACCTTTGACCGCGTCTCTGCACCTGCACATCTTTCCAATTCTGCTTCTTCCATCCTTACGGTTAAGTTTGATGCAGTTCCCACCATCGCCATCTTGGCCACATCACACGTCTCATCGCACCTGGTAAATAGCCTGTATTTGTATAGCGCCTTCTGAGGGTTCTACGGTTGGCGGTCATTTTTAGCTAAACACCGAGGTTGAGCAACTCTCCTACCCTCTGCCCTCTAGGCTATAACACTTTTAACCTGAGGCTGAGGCTGAGGCCTTCAGTGAAGCAAGCAGGAGGGCAAGCTGTTAGCGCTAGCACTGATGGCTCATCTGCTACTTGTCAATCAAAAGGACACACCCCTAAGTATTCATAATGTTAAGCTTTAATAACATCTAAATTGATTTGTTTTAAACCCCACCCCCACCCCCGAGTATTGGCATTTTATACTTGCTCCTTTTTGGTGCCCGCCCCTGGTGGATGAGGGGGGAACTGCAATATTTGTTACTTCCACGTTGGCTTCTCTTTTGGCAGGTTGAGTTTGCCCTTTGGGCAGAAAGCATCAAACTCCGTATTTAACAAAGGGCTCAACAGGAAATCCCACACAGTCCCACTTCTGGTAAATTTCTAAACAGAAGAATGCAGATCTCCCTAACGACAGAACGGGCTCATTTGCTGCCCGCATCTTTGGAGGAGAGCATCAGTGTGTTTCTTAGCATGGAGGAGGCTTTCATCCTGACAGTGGAGAATTACAACATTAAGTAGGACACCAGTGTCTCCATCCATAGTTCCTACAGAGATATCAAACGTCTTGCAAAGTTGTCCTGTGATTGCTACGTGGATGGTAGCAACGAAACAGCGTTGCTGCTGTTACGCGCCACACATGCACCCGGTGTGAATTGGGGGTAAGACATTTAAATGTTGCGCAATATAAAAAGCAAAAAAAAAAAAAAGCAATTACTAGTATTTATCTGACTTTGAATTAATGAAGATCAAGTGTAGAACATATGCATTTATTCTGAGTTCTTGTTTTCCACTTTCTCTTCTCTTGTGGGCGACGGTGGCACAGGAGTTAAGTGCTCGCCCCGTAATCGGAAGGTTGCAGGTTCGAGCCCCACTCAGTCTGTCGCCGTTGTTGTGTCCTTGGGCAAGACACTTAACCCACCTCGCCTGCTGGTGGTGGTCGGAGGGACCGGTGGCGCCAGTGCTCGGCAGCCTCGCCTCTGTCAGTGCGCCCCAGGAAAGCTGTGGCTACATCGTAGCTCATCCCCACCAGTGTGTGAATGTGTG